ATATCACAAGAGCAACATGTTCCATTCATCTAATATTCCCCTCTCCAACCTTTATCAGATTTATTTAAGAAGTGCTTTCTTCAGAAATAGGGCAGCGGTATGTAATTCACTATATGCGAATGTGATAAAGTTAGGAAGCAGGTGCAGATTAACTGCATAAGCTATTATGCTAAATATGTAGAGGCCACTGTGTATTCAGCTTACTATGGGTTGAGTAATGGCAGGCTAGAACATGCTTTGTGTCCTGGATATGCCTTTCAGATGATAAACATGGGCACTATAATATTTGCAGATGGAAAAACATCTGTCTGGACATAAAACAAGTAGCTGTTTGTATACCCATGGGCCCTATAAACCAGTCCAATAAGCTGAAGGTGAATCACTGAATATATTTTTCAGTGCTGTTCAGCTTCCTCATAATTTTTTAACTGTCTAATTGACTTTCAGGTCAGGCACTCATATTTTTGAGAAATTCCCCAGCTATATATTGTCTCAAGTTGGTAGGCTGAATGGGCCTGAATAACCATCACCGGCATTCACATAACACACACTTTAAGAAGTCAGAAAAAAGAGAAGCAGATGCATTAGTATAGCATGCTAAATTGTTTAGCTTTTGTATATGTGCTTATCATGTTGTGTAAAGCCAGCCTGTTTGGCTAGTTTATATTTCACTGTATTCTGTGATTCAGTTACAAGTTAAGTGTGCTATGTGAGTCCTATCTCACTTCTTATGTGACTGCTCTGCTTAAATTTACATAAGTCAGGAACTCTATCGCACTGTGCCTAACTTCAGGATCAACATTATGCCTGTTGTCTTGACTGTTGCTTTTTGATAGTATAGTTGTAGCTGCTAGAGATGCAGCGAAAAGTCACCTAACCTACATTTAAATGAATCAGCATTTGGACAGCTCCTTATTCACAGTCTACCCCAGAACTCATTATCTCCTGTATACTGTATGTATCGTATGATCTAGCCCAGGGGTAGGCAACCTTGGCTCTTTTATGACTCGTGGACTTCAACCCCCAATTCTGGGAGTTGAAGTCCACAAGTCATAAAAGAGCCAAGGTTGCCTACCCCTGATCTAGCCCAAGCTCTCAAATCTTTCAACTTGCCAAAAACAGAACACTAATAGTAAGGTAAATGTGTTTTGGGAACACCATAACTTGGTCAGTAATGGGGCAAGAATGGTTTAGTTTTAACATAGGCTTTTTAAAAATTAAAAACACCCAGTCAGCTGTGCTTTGGGGACACCATACCCGAATAAACATTTGGGGCAGAGTATAAAGCCCTCCAGCTGTCTTTCAGAGAATAGAGTTGGAGACATAAAGTGTTTTAAAAAAGGGTCTCTGCTTACAGAATTCATTGCATGTCCTGATTGGCTGCAGCTCCTAAATCAGTGGTTCTCAACCTTTCTAATGCCGTGACCCCATAATACAGTTCCCCATGTTGTGGTGACCCCCAAATGGGTGTGGCCACCAATAAGAGGGAGTAGGACAGCTAGGGAAAAGGGAAAAAAATGGCAGACAGCGTGGTTTGGCGACCCCCGTGAAATGGTCGTTCGACCCCAAATGGGGTCCCGACCCACAGGTTGAGAACCACTGTCCTAAATAAATAAAATACCTCCAGACATGAAAAGCACTTATACCCAGCAAGGTATTCAACTGAATTCATTACTGAAGAAAGCAAACCTTTTTTTCCCCCTGTTCTAATTGCTCCATCATCTTCCAGTGGACATTTCCCTGGAGTATTCTTTGGCTGGGCTTCCCGGAATGTGAAGCCGTGAACCATCCTAGCAGCACTTAGACTATTCTAAGAACTTGTTGTAAAAGCCACAAAGTAAGATGTGACAATAGCACTTACCCTTAGGCTGGTAATAGAAATGGCAGTTCTCCAAGGATCTGAAGAACAACTTCTATCCTCAAAAACACGCTATAGGGCACTGCACACCAGAACAATTAGACACAAGGACAGTTTTTTTCCCCATGCCATCACTCTGCTAAACAACTATTTCCCAAAACACTGTCAAACTATTTAGTAAAGCTGTATTACTATTATTCTTCTCATCTTTCCTATTACCTATCTCCTTATCTACTTATGACTATAACTTTGTTGCTTGTATCTTACAATTTGTTTTATTTAGTTTCCTAGTATGATTTATGTTGATTGCTTATTTAGTATCCTATGATTATCACTAAGTGTTATATCTTATGACTTATAATGAATGTATTTTTACGATGACTATGGTCATGATTTATCACTTATAGCTTTTATATACACTGAGAGCTTATGCACCGAAGACAAATTCCTTATGTGTCTAATCACACTTGGCCAATAAAGAATTCTATTCTATTCTATTCTATTTATCCATTCTGGTAATAAGCCATTTTTTTTGTTAGGAAAGCAATCTGATAATGTGAGTTGTTACTGGCACTTATCATCATATTCCTGATAAATATACAGTAGAGGTGACAAATAGATTTAAGGAATTAGATCTGATAGACAGAGTGCCTGAAGAACTATGGATGGAAGTTCGCAACATTGTACAAGAGGTAGCAACTAAAACCATCCCAAAGAAAAAGAAATGCAAGAAAGCAAAATGGCTCTCTGAGGAAGCTTTGCAAATACCTGAGGAAAGAAGGGAAGTGAAAGGCAAGGGAGAAAGAGAAAGATACACCCAATTGAATGCAGAATTCCAGAGAGTAGCTAGAAGAGATAAGAATGCCTTCTTAAATGAACAGTGCAAAGAAATAGAAGAAAACAACAGAATAGGGAGGACCAGAGATCTCTTCAAGGAAATTGGAGATATGAAGGGAACGTTTCATGCAAAGATGGGCATGATAAAGGACCAAAATGGCAGAGACCTAAAAGAGGCAGAAGAGATTAAGAAGAGATGGCAAAACTACACAGAAGAACTATACAAGAATGAGCTTAACATCCCAGATAACCACAATGAGATGGTCACTGACCTCGAACCAGACATCCTAGAATGTGAAGTGAAATGGGCCTTAGAAAATATGAGCAACAACAAAGCTAGTGGAGGTGACAGTATTCCAGCTGAGCTATTCAAAATCTTAAAAGACGATGCAGTAAAAGTGCTACACTCAATTTGCCAGCAAATTTGGAAAACTCAACAGTGGCCACAGGATTGGAAAAGGTCAGTTTATATTCCAATTCCGAAGAAAGGCAATGCCAAAGAATGTTCAAACTATCGCACCATTGCACTCATTTCACATGCTAGTAAAGTTATGCTTAAAATCCTACAAGCTAGACTCCAGCAGTATGTGGATCGAGAACTACCAGAAGTACAGGCAGGATTTCGAAGAGGCAGAGGAACTAGAGATCAAATTGCCAACATACGCTGGATCATGGAGAAAGCTAGGGAGTTCCAGAAAAACATCTACTTCTGCTTCATTGACTATGCAAAAGCCTTTGATTGTGTGGATCACAACAAATTGTGGCAAGTTCTTAAAGAGATGGGAGTACCAGACCATCTCATTTGTCTCTTGAGAAATTTATATGCGGGTCAAGAAGCAACAGTGAGAACTGGACACGGAACCACTGATTGGTTCAAAATTGGAAAAGGAGTCCGGCAAGGCTGTATACTGTCGCTCTGCCTATTTAACTTATATGCAGAGCACATCATGAGAAAGGCAGGGCTAGATGAATCAAAAGTTGGAATTAAGATTGCTGGGAGAAATATCAACAACCTAAGATATGCAGATGATACCACTCTAATGGCAGAAAGTGAAGAGGAACTAAAGAGCCTCTTGATGCGGGTGAAGGAGGAGAGTGCAAAAGTTGGCTTGAAACTCAACATTAAGAAAACCAAAATCATGGCATCCGGCCCTCTCAATTCCTGGCAAATAGATGGGGAAGAAATGGAGGTAGTGACAGATTTTATTTTTCTGGGCTCCAAGATCACCTCAGATGGGGACTGCAGCCAAGAAATTAAAAGACGCTTGCTCCTGGGGAGGAAAGCTATGGCAAATCTAGACAGCATACTAAAAAGCAGAGACATCACCCTGCCAACAAAAGTGCGTATAGTCCAGGCCATGGTTTTCCCAGTTGCAATGTATGGCTGTGAAAGTTGGACCATAAGAAAGGCTGAGCGCAAAAGAATTGAGGCCTTTGAACTATGGTGCTGGAGAAGACTCCTGCGAGTCCCTTGGACTGCAAGGCGTTCAAACCGGTCAGTCCTAGAAGAGATCAACCCTGACTGCTCTTTAGAAGGCCAGATCCTGAAGTTGAAACTCAAATACTTTGGCCACCTAATGAGAAGGAAGGACTTACTGGAAAAGGGCTTAATGCTGGGAAAGATTGAGGGCAATAGAAGAAGGGGACGACAGAGAATGAGATGGCTGGATGGAGTCACTGAAGCAGTAGGTGTGAACTACTGCTTCAGTAGTAGAGGATAGGAAGACCTGGAGGAATGTTGTCCATGGGGTCGTGATGGGTCGGACACGACTTCGCAATTAACAACAACAACAACTGGCACTTATAGGTAGCCAGTGCTAAAACCTCAAGAGAAATATTATTAACTTTGACGGATTAATCAGTTGTAGATTCTGGATCATATCCAAAGTCTGGGTCATTAGAGCTCATTACAGTAATCCAGATGAGATCAAGACATGATTCTATCATCTTTGGTCCAGATAAAGTCATAACTGGCTCATCAACTGAAGTGAAGCAAATGCCACCCACCATGGTCTCCACCTGCTGTTTAAGTAACAGCTGTGAGTTCAGGATCTTCACCCTTCTCCTATCCTCCAAGTATGTATCAGATTTCAGGTGAAATAATACTGGTTCCAGTATTCGGTATTCTGAATGCTTACTGATGTATAGCAGTTCAATTATGGAGGGAATTAATCCAATTTTATTTTGTCCCATCTAGACCATGACATCCTCTAGGCACTGTTTTTCAAGAATAATATACTGGATACTTCATGTAAACATTTGAGTATTCTAATCTACTATTTTATTTTTCTGTGTCCCTCTGCAGGGCAAGCCTTATGTCTTTGACCGAGTCTTCCCACCCAACACTACACAGGAACAAGTGTATCATGCTTGTGCCATGCAGATTGTCAAAGGTCAGTCTGGGCATGGTAGAATTTCAGGTACTTAATAGGATTGTTTGGGTAGGGCAGCAGGAAGAGAATAAATAATATCCATTAAAAATGGCTAAGTTTATTTTTGTCCTTCATCTTCCTTTTTTTTTTTTACAGATGTGCTGGCTGGGTACAATGGAACCATCTTTGCCTATGGGCAGACGTCTTCTGGAAAGACTCACACCATGGAGGTGAGGTGGTTTCTAACATATTTTAAAGCTGATCTATAACTAGAAAACACAGGCCTGATTGTAGCGTCTACAAATAGATCCTAGGTTTCAACAATCAAGCTTACCTGAAGAATTTGGGAGGGCTTGTTGAACTTACTGTCAATTCTTCTGTTTCACTAGGGCAAACTGCATGATCCCCAGCTCATGGGCATCATCCCACGCATTGCCCAGGACATCTTCAACCACATTTATTCCATGGATGAGAACCTGGAATTCCACATTAAGGTCAGAGACATACAAGGAGGGACCAGTGATATAGAGAGTGCTTATTACTTATCTGCTTGAAGCATTCTGTCCCATTCCTTAACTCCAGAACGTTCTTAGAACATTGGACACGTGTTCCACCACTTGCTTTCATGCACCAACTAGTGCAGTTTTCCTTAAATCATGCCCGCCATGGCCAGGTGAGTGGAATACAGCTAGATGGTGGCAGTGGTCCTGTGACCTTTGTCTGAAATGGTATAGGGTTTCCTGCCTGAGCAGGAAACTAGATGACCTCCAAGGTCCCTTCCAACTTTATTATTATTATTATTATTATTATTATTATTATTATTATTATTATTACTTCAAATGGCAGGTTCTGTTATGCCACCTCTGCTAAGAATATTCTAGATCTATTACCAGTAGTTAAGACTGATGAGAACTGTATTCCACCCTATTTGGACCTACTAGATTGATAGAAACTTGTTTTTTTTGTCCTGTTGCTCCATTGTATTTGTTACAAAATGGCTAAAAGCTTCACAATCCCCATCTGGAAGATTCAAGTTACCTATTTGGAATATCTGAGATTGTATAGTTGTTTGCTGCAGGAAAGGCATGCATCTTTGAGAACCAAAGCAGAGGTAATTTCCCATCTTCCCATTTTTCATTTTTTTATTCCTTCTCCTTTCAGGTTTCTTACTTTGAAATCTACCTGGACAAAATCCGTGATCTGCTAGATGGTGAGCAAGCTTCAAGGGATATCAAATATCACGTGGGGTGGAGAGCAAGCCAGGAGATAGAACAAATCAATGGCCTGGCAGTTGTGAAGATAGCGGGTAATTTAAATATATTTCCTTGGATTCATTGGGCTCTCTTTGACCCATTTCTTCTTCTTCCCCAGTGACGAAGACCAATCTCTCAGTTCATGAGGATAAGAACCGTGTGCCATTTGTGAAGGTGAGATAGTTGGGAAATTGAGCTAAGATATTCCCTAAAAACATCAATACTGGGCAATGGTCAATCTCAGTACCAAATTTTATTGACAGAGGAGCAAGATTGAAAAGTCTGGCTTTAGGTACTGTAGTACCAAAATCAATGAAAGCATTACATCTTAAAAGAAGTTCTGCTATTTTTTAAAATACCACATACTAGAGAGAGTTACGTAAAAATAGGATCTACAGCAGGGCTTTTCAACCAGTGGTACGGGTACCACTTGTGGTACATTGGCACTTGGCAGGTGGGACACGACCATCCTAGAAAAGTGGTAGCGGGGGAGGGAAATAAGCTGAACAGGTGGCAGCACCGCACAAGCCTGAGCGAGAGATGGCTGTCAGGGCTCAGCAGAAGCGCCAGGATCAGTGCTGCTTTCCAGCTGATCGGTGCTTCTTCAGGACTGTCAGGGCTCAGTGGAAGCACCAGGATCAGTGCCGGGCTCCAGCTGGAGCTTGGCACTTATCCTGGTGCTTCTGCTGAGCCCTGAAGAAGCACCAATCAGCTGGAAAGCAGCATTGATCCTGGTTATTCTGCTGAGCCCAGAAGAAGCGCTGATCAGCTGGAATGTTGCAGCATCTCCAGGGTCTTGTGATTTACATTCAGATTCTTGGCAACTGATTCATATTTATGACGGTCACAGTGTCCCGGGGCCATGTGAAGTGATCAAAATCTGCTGCAACCACCCAGCAGACAGGGGGAATAAAAACCAAACACCCCCCACCCTACCCCTGCTGCCAATCCTCAACAGAAACGCTCGCAACAATGAAAACCTCGGACAGGAGGAAGAGTGCCGCCGGGTGGGCAGGCAGGTGTCTTGTTCGGCTGTGGCTTGGGGAGCACTTTTTTCAGTGCTATTATAACTTTGAACAGTCATTAAGCAAACTGTTGTAAGTCGAGGACTACCTGTACTTTATCACTTTTTTCCTTTTTTGGGGGGGGGGGTCATCAAGTTTTTGACACCTTGTTAAGTGACTGGTGGTACTTGGATATTGCCATATCCTAAAAGTGGTACAATGGGTGAAAAGGTTGAAAAGCCCTGGTCTACAGTATTTGTGTGGGATGGAAAGATTCTCTCCAAAATTTCCGCTCTTCCTAGATATCCTTTTTTAGAACAGCTAGACAAGCTCCAGATGTTTTAAGTAATTATATTATACAAATTTATACATTTTTACATCAGTCTCAAGCAGCAAAACCAATGGCGAGGAATTGTGGGAGTTTGTAGTCCATTACAACCAGAGGGCACTAAATCACCCATTTCTGTTACTGAGCATTTGCCTAGAGCAGGGGTAGGCAATCTTGGCTCTTTTATGACTCATGGACTCCCAGAATTCCTGAGCCAGCCAATTCTGGGAGTTGAAGAGCCAAGGTTACCTACCCCTGGCCTAGAGCAAGAAGTCAGGACAAGTCTATGGAGATTCTCAGCCATCCAGATCGTGGTTATCTCAAAGATGCTTTTCCAAAAGGCAACTGGGCTTTATTTTTTCCTTGAGGAAAGACATTTCGCTTCTTATCCAAGGAAGTCAGTCAGAACTGAAGGAGCTTTTTGGATGAGAAACGAAATTTCTTCCTCAAGGAAAAAACAAAGTCCAGTTGCCTTTTGAAAAAGCACCTTTGAGATAAGTCAGGAAAAGCTACCCTGGTGTAAAGCTGAGGGAGTTAACTAGGAACAAAGCATATCAATTAACTGAAGGGAGTGATGGGATTACGAGCAAAAAATTTTTTTTCTTCTTCGCTTAAGGGTTGCACTGAACGATTTGTCTCCAGCCCTGAAGAAATCCTGGATGTCATTGATGAAGGAAAATCCAACCGCCATGTGGCTGTCACCAGTGAGTTTTGAAGACACGCAATTGGGAAAGGATGATGGCATATGGAACAGGCAGTTGGGGAACCTACATACAAAGCAGGAAGAATCTCTGTTTCACTAGGGCAGGGGTAGGCAACCTTGGCTCTTTTATGACTCGTGGACTTCAACTCCCAGAATTCCTGAGCCAGCATGGCTCAGCTTGGAAACCTCTCCCTTTCCCCTCAGCATGGCTGGCTCAGGAATTCTGGGAGTTGAAGTCCACGAGTCATAAAAGAGCCAAGGTTGCCTAACCCTGCACTAGGGCATTTTCAAGTGTTTTTTTGAGAACATTGTACCTCTTTGTTTTTGCAGATCCAGAAAAGCATCAAAAATGAGAGGGTTGTCTCTAGATCAGATTGAGGTAGTTATTTCAGGCAGAAGATGCCAGGATGGGGTGGGAACTGGTGGCAAGACACTGGAAATCCTTGAGCTGCCTGTTTTGGTTAGTCCATAGGATGGAAAATCATGTTCTGTGCCACAGGCTGCAAAACAACAACAACAACAACAACCAACTGGTTTCAGCTTTGGACCAACTCCTTCATTGGTTCAGTGGGTCACAGACTCTATAGACAGATCTGTACTGAAGAAAATGTAAGAAAAGAAAGGTTCTAGTGCTCAGGGAGAACCAGAGTGATAACACTTAAGATTTTAAGGACTATGCTCTGAAGCACAGAGCCGAGACTCTATGTGCAGGCAGTGGTGATGTAACTTTCAGGTAGGGGCAGAGTTTTATAATGATGGGGGCAAAGGCACCTCCATGTTTAGTCCAGCTCTATATGATGGGCTGTATGAGGCTGAATGAGTTCCTGTTAACATATTTATACACTAATAAAAAAAGTACAACTATCCCTTAAAGCGGGGGTGTTCAGACTTGGCCCCTTTATTACTTGAGTGCCTGGCTGAGGAATTCTGGGAGTTGAAGTCCACAAGTCATAAAAGGGCCAAGTTTGAACACCCCTGCCTTAAAGGTTACAGCAGCCGATTTTGATAAAGCTGAGCAGGGTTAGAGCTAGTTAGTTCTCGGATAGAGATTACCAGTAAATCTCAGCCTCTCCATTTTCTGTCCATAAGGATTCTTTCTGATCTCAATTTATAATTAGGAAGCAGTCACAACTATTTTTATCACCTATTTTGTTTGGTTGTGTTTTTCTGCAACCCAAAGTATTGTACTATAGGACTTGTGGGTGTGGGGTGTGGAGAACATGGATTTCCTGTAGAGAGTTGAAAGTAATCTAATTCTTAATATATTCAACTGGAGTAGCATTTTGATACTGCCTTCAAATGATAATTGCTTATTATCTCAAATCAAACGGTTTATAAGTTTCTGTAATGTTTGTTTTTAGACCTGCACATATGAGGATTATAGTAGAAAACAGACAAGTGTGTAGACCAGGGGTCTTCAAACTTGGCTCTTTTATGACTTGTGGACTTCAACTCCCAGAATTCCTCAGCCAGGCATGCTGACCCCTGGTGTAGACAAACTCATTTGCTAAGCTTTTTCGATAATACTGCCAATCTCCATGCCTCAAAGAGCCCTCAGTAGGCTGAATATTGTACAATTTCAGTGCAGGGAATCTCTGCTCAGAATTTGCTTATTTCTCTCTCTTAACCTTGCAGACATGAATGAGCACAGTTCCCGGAGTCACAGCATCTTCCTTATCAACATTAAGCAGGAGAACATGGAGACTGAGCAAAAACTGAGTGGGAAGCTTTACCTGGTGGATTTGGCTGGCAGCGAAAAGGTGCTTGGGACTTAAAAGAGATCTGAGCAGGAAAGCAAGCTGTTTGATTTCTTTCGTAAACTAAGATCAGCATCATACATAGGGAGCACGGTGACTTGCATTGTTAGGAGCTGGGTTGGAGGTTAGCAAGACCGTGTTCGAGACCTGACTGCTCCTATGGGGTGGGTGAGCTCCCATCCTTCCCTCCAGTTCCTGCCAGGGACATGAGAGGAGCACCCAACTGGGTATCCCCCAGGAAATGGTGATATCACCAGCTAATCCTTTCAACCCAGAAGCACCTGGTGCTTCTGACATGAATGGAATGTGAGCATCAGACATGTACTGTATTGCAGCAATGCCTTCATAAAATATATACCTTGAAGTTAAGACGGATTAAAATGTCACACTCTCCTCTCCTGGGTATCAGGAAACCCATTATTTGAATGACGGATCTCCAAGTCAGTATCTTAGGGATCTCCAGAGAACTATGTGCCTTAAATGCAATTAGGTGGCAAGTCTGAATAGTATATTGGGAAATCACTGAATGGGAGACTAGGCCCTGATTTGCCAGCCATAACTCTCTGCCACCCAAAGGAAATGATAAGGGTTTTTCTTGAGCCGTTTTTGGAGTGAAATACATTTCAGATGTTTGTGTCAGTTACTTTTCATTGGTATCCTCCCACTACCTAGGAAGCTTGTTTATTCAGAGAAGAAAGCCTCATTTTGGATTTAGTCCTTATAACGTACACATTTATCTCCATTATAATAAACAAATGTCTTCTCCTGGCAGGTCAGCAAGACTGGAGCTGAGGGAGCTGTGTTGGATGAGGCCAAGAATATCAATAAATCTCTGTCTGCACTTGGGAATGTTATCTCAGCTCTGGCTGAGGGCACAGTGAGTAGCGCATCCCTTAACAAAAAGATTGCTGGCCAGTTTTCCCCATCCTGGTGCTATACAGATATATAGGAATTTATATATGTCAACCCATCTCAAGGACATGAATCTGAGTGGACTAAAAACAATAAACAAAATGATAAATAACATAAATAGCAACTGACAGACAAAACTAACAATCCTTCCAATTAACACAACCAAAAAGAAAAAAAGAAAATGACATCTACCAGTTGTTCTGGGAGTAGGGGAGTTGAAGCCTGATATCTGAAGTTATAGTCGAAGAATAACTGCCAAAATTCATAGCTGATGTGATTTTTGGATTTCTGGGAATGGTGATTCAACAGGCTTGAAGAATGTAGCTAAAGCATCTGACACAATCAAAACTCCTGGAACATGTTGACTCAGGGGTGTCAAACTGGTGGCCTATAGGCTGCATGTGTCACATGCAGGCCACGCCCACCCTGGCTCTGCAAAGGCAAAAAATGACACGATACGTTACAATATGTCACATGACATGATCGAGTTTGACACCCATGTGTTGACTGCTCTAGAAAATATGCTTACCTATTAATTATTTGCTTCTGATGATTTAGGTTTTCCTTTCCTATCTGGAAGATGAAATTTCTAGATGAGTTTGCTAGTCCCTGACCATTGGATGTATAGGATTTTTTTTTTATTGATAAGAACTGTGAGTAGATTGGCATTTCTGTGGTCAATTTTGTCTGTGTGAAAAAGGCCAAATATGTTCCTTCCTATTATCTCATGCAGAAAAGCTACGTGCCCTACCGAGATAGCAAGATGACCCGTATCCTGCAGGACTCCCTCGGTGGGAACTGCCGCACAACAATGTTTATCTGCTGCTCTCCTTCCAGCTATAATGATGCTGAGACCAAATCTACTCTCATGTTTGGACAGCGGTAAGTATACTGACAGAATTGCTTTTTGAATGGATATTACCTGTTCTATCCTTCCCAATCTGGTATTCAGTACAAATTTTTAATATCAGGTATTAGCTAGCACTTGATTGGGGAAAGCTAATCTTAGTTTTTCCAAGGGGTAAAACAGAATTGGTAAAATGAATTACTAAATGGACTAGGATGGGGAAGTTGCTGGAAATGTACCAGGGTTTTTTTTAACATTAAAACATTATTCTGTAGATATTAGTACTTCAAAAAGCGGAAGGAAGGAAGGAAGGAAGGAAGGAAGGAAGGAAGGAAGGAAGGAAGGAAGGAAGGAAGGAAGGAAGGAAGGAAGGAAGGAAGGAAGGAAGTTCTAAGGGACATAAAATATCTACAGTATACTATGGGTATGAACAGATTTATCAGTCATTCCTTTCCCCCATGCAATCCTGAGATTTATAGCTTGAGTGGGTGGAAAGGGAAAGATAGGAATTCCTAATAAAATTCTCAGCATTGTTTATTGAACAATAATTCCCTAACATCCTTTGTGAAAAAAACACATTGATTAAGTTGATATAAAAAAAATCTACAGTATGTTTGCATACAGGACCTTAGATTGTATTGTATATTACAGCTATGTACATTACTTCTTTTAAGTTAAAATAAGGTCTACTTTAGGGACCAGTAGCTAAAAGGCTTGAAGAATGTAGCTAAAGCATCTGACACGATCAAAACTCCTAGAACATATTGACTCAGGGGTGTCAAACTGGTGGCCTATAGGCCGCATGTGTCACATGCAGGCCATGCCCACCTTGGCTTCGCAAAATTTCTTGATATTTTGCAGTATAACTGTCATCTCACTGCTTTGGAATTATCACAATTGTAGTAAAATATGTTAGTTTGGAAAAGGCTACTATTGGAATAGCCAGGTAAAATTGATTCTGCTGCTATTTTTGGAGATGAGGAATCTAGGGAAGGACTGATTTCAGCTGTGGAACACAAGCCTTGCATGGAAAGGGTCAAGATTTGATTATAAGCATCGTTTGCTAAGGTTGAGGTAAACTCCAGCCTAAAAATCTATTCTTGCTAGTCAATATATATGATATGAGCAAAGTATAGTAAGAGTTTCCTGTATTTTTAGAACTTCAGTCATCTGTGTCAATACTAGGAAGATGATCAATATAATAAATAAGGTGTAATGGAATGTCTTGGAAGGAAAGAGAAGCAGCAAGGTGGATGGACTCAATTCTGGTGGCAATGAGTGCACTGTTGGAAAACCTGAAAGATCCAATTATGGATATATCATTATGAGCAAAATGTATCTATGTGGTTGCTAGGAGTTGAAAACAAGTTGGCACAATCAGTCAATCAATCAAAGCAGAATGACCATTAAACAAAGCAAAGTCTTCTCCATAAAGATATTCGCTTCCATTTCAGGGCCAAGACAATCAAGAATACAGCATCAGTGAATCTGGAATTGACAGCAGAACAATGGAAGAAGAAATTTGAGAAGGAGAAGGAGAGGAACAAGACCCTCAAGGAGACAATTGCCAAGTTGGAGGCTGAGTTAGGACGTTGGCGTAATGGTAAGTTGGGTGCAAAGAAAACAAAGGTCCTATTTGCTTTGCTTTGTTATTGATTGCACTGTCTTTCAGAACTAAGTGATATTAGCAATAGGTGCATTTCCTGTCTATCAACCATATGTTGACAGGTTGAGATACGACTAAACAGGTGTTTTGGGCTAAAATTTATTTGAACCTGAAACCAAGCAATGAGAATTGCACATTTCCTCATTTTTTTACTATGCCAATAAATATTTGGAGTAGGAAATTAAAAAAAAAGCAAGGATACAAGCAAGGACTATAGCTACATTGCATTCTACAGAGCTGCATTTGCCTAATAGAAAGACTTTGGAAATGGTTATCAATGTCCTAAATCAGGGCTTTTCAACCGGTGGTACGCGTACCACTTGTGGTACATTAACGAGTGGCAGGTACATTAATGCAGCCCTGCCTAGCCACGTGTAGTGGGAGAGGGAAAGAGCCAGCGCAGGCAAGGACTAACTTGAGAGAATCCTCTGGAGCTGCAGAGTGGCTGGGGTGAGGCAAAGGCCCCAGACTCACTTCTGGCTCACCCTCCCCCATGAGAAAGGAGGAGGGGGGGTGGAGACAGGACAGGCTATAAAAGGAGGCAGTTTGGGCAGGAAAGGGAGAGAGAGAAAAAGCAGCAGCCTTGGGAGGAGGCGGAGTCAGCTCTAGCTGCACCGAAGGGAAAGAAGAAGAAGGAGGAAGAGGGTGGGGGGATAGGAGAGGAAATCAAGCAGGCTAGCCATGAGCCGATCTACAATTGCTGTGGCAGCCACCTGTGCTGGCAGCCAGCAAACAGGCAAGAAATGCAGCAGGGGAGGTTGCCCTCCAAGTGGAATGAAGAAAGGTAGCATCAGCTGGAGGTGAGACATGGAGGGAGGGAGGGAGATGGAGAGTGGAAGGATTCTTATGTGCTTTTGTGACTTTGAAGTTCTGGGATTTGTGCAATGCGGACTTTGTGTTCTTAAGGAGTGTTTGGAAATTTCTATTTGGCTGATGCTCCTGTTAGCTTCTATTGCACTGCTGTTGTTAGCTGTAAGTTTTGCTGCAAGGGATTTTGAAGTATTTTTCTCCTGAATGGATTTTGCCTGTAGCATTCCTTTACTTATGAATGGAGCCATTTGAGGAGGCTGCCTTAGCCAGCAGCCAGTACTTCCATTTTTTTTCTTCCTTAAGTGCCAGCTGCACTCCTTAACTTTCCTTTCTAGCCTGTAGCTAATTCTTAAAGGGGAATGTGCCTTTTTAAGCTAGTTCACTCAGCAGCTTGTCTTTTCTGTCTCTGGAGGCTTTTCCTTATTTGATGAATATATGGAAGAGAGAAAATATGGGGGGGGTCAAGTTCTTCCTTCAGAAGGAGATGGGCATGAGAAAGAGGGAAGGAGGGAGGGAGGGAGGGAAGTCCCGCCTTAGCACTTGGCCGCCAGCAGCCCTGCCATTGACTTTGCTTGTCAAAAGGTTGCAAAAGGGGATCACATGACCCTGGGACACTGTGACCATCATAAATATGAATCAGTTGCCAAGCATCCAAATATTAATCACATGACCCTGGGCATGCTGCAATGGTCATAAGTGTGAAAAATGGTCATAAGTCATTTTAGTGCAATTGCAACTTTGAACAGGGTTTTTAATTGGGGGGGGTCATCAGGTTTTTGACACCTTGCTAGGTGGTACTTGAATATTGCCATATCTTAAAATCGGTGAAAAGGTTGAAAAGCCCTGTCCTAAATGTCACATTGATTCATGTAGTTTAAGGACAGATGATCCCAGACATATGCTGTATGTATGTATGATGTAATAAAGATGCCTCAGGTTGCCTAGGAACTAAATAATAAGTGCAGATATGACAAAGGGTCTGAAATACAAGGGACAGTCATAAGAACTTAGACTACTGTCATATATCAAGTCAGATTATTCAGCATGGACAGAAGATGGAGATGCTAAGGAGTGAACTTGGGACCTTATGCGATGTAATTTCTCTTCACTGGATTTTTTTATTTTTACTCCTATGATAAAACAGATGTAGTATTCCTTTAACATATTAGGTGCTTATTGTGAAAAAATATTGCATAATCCACTCTCCATTCAGAGATTTGGACCAAAGTGGCCTTGAATTTCAGAGTTTATCTAGCCCTGAAAAAGGACACCTATTTTCCTTAATTCTGATACCTCTGAATGGGCTTCACATTTTTAGAATGGTGAAAAAATGTGATTTCTCATGTAATCATTGCACAGATCTGTCCCTGAAAGGCACTGTGATACCTTCTGATTCATAATAAACACAGCAGTAAAATAAGTGTGTGAAAATGTTCCTTGTCTTCTATTTAAACATTTTTAGGTGAGAATGTCCCAGAAACAGAGCAGTTGAGTGATGAGGAGAAGGTGGTACCTGATATTTGTGATGAGACACCCATTAATGATAACAACTCCTCCATCGTCATCCGGATCTCTGATGAGGAGCGGCATAAGTATGAGGAGGAGATCCGCAAACTCTACAAGCAGCTTGATGACAAGGTAGAGATCTCTCCTCCATCCCATATAAACTTCTCCTGAGTTGCTTTTAACCCCATCTCAGTCACAATGTCTTTTCTTTGTGCCTTACCTGTCTCAACCATGGACGCAGCATAAGGTAGTGAGCAATGACATATTTTTGTCCAATCAGGATGATGAAATTAATCAGCAGAGCCAATTGATGGAGAAACTAAAGGAGCAGATGCTGGACCAGGAGGAGGTGAGTAATTTTCCTAGGGTACCTTTATGCACATGCATCCTGACTTTTTATCTTTGTTACTTAGTTTAAGCCAGCCTTTCCTCAAAGAAGCAAATGATATCATAGGTCAGGGGTAGGCAACCTTGGCTCTTTTATGACTCGTGGACTTCAGTTGAAGTCCACGAGTCATAAAAGAATCAAGGTTGCCTATCCCTGTCATAGGTCATTCTTTCTCCTCACATTGTCCTCCCAACAGTCCTGTGAGAGATGATGATGTGTCCAACATTGCCTAATAAGCTTAGTAGATGGCTATGGATTTTGTCCTGGTCTTCCCATCACTTTAATTAAATACTGTAATTGTATTCCGGTTCTCCCCAGTTACGTGTCTTCAGGCTCTATTAGACTGCAGCTGTGATCATTCTAAGCAAGCTACTTCACTGACTGGAATTGATGGAGATATAATCAGAAGGCAGTTGGGTAGAGAAAGACTAGTATAACCATAACAGCGTTCTATTTCTCAGCACTCTGTACATATCTCTATATATTTCTATCTCTTTTTACATCATCCTCACCTGGCCTTTCTTATATGTCCTCTGACATTTTTCTAACTACTCACTAACTCACCCCGCCTTTTCCTTCTGATAGCTGCTAATGTCCACTCGTGGGGACAATGAAAAAGTGCAACAGGAACTAAGCCATCTGCAGTCTGAGAATGATTCCGCTAAGGAAGAGGTGAAGGAGGTACTGCAAGCTCTAGAGGAGCTGGCTGTCAACTATGATCAGAAATCCCAGGAAGTAGAAGATAAAACTCAGCAGAATCAGCTATTGGTGGATGAGTTGTCTCAGAAAGTGGTAAGTGCTGAGATCTTGTGGATCGTAAAACATGAGTTAGAGTTCAAGTGTTGCCCTTTGTAGAATCAATACATTCATCAAAATTTCAAAAGGACTTAATAAAGTTATTAAAAAGCCATTCAGTAACAAAAGAAGTTTTGTTAGGATGCCAAAAAGAAATTATACAGAGATTCCTTAGAGAAAGATTCCAGGACTGTAGTGATTCCAAAACTGCACAAGATTCCAGAATAGCAGCACCATAGAACACCATAATAAATTCACCATAGCCTTTTTTTTTTTTTTTGGTCTAACTAATGAAACTTCCATTGCCATAACAAAGGGAATGGGTGTGCTGTTGTCTCCAGTTAGATGTTTACTCAGAAACTTTGCGTATATTCAAGTTTAAACCATTTTTTCTTCTTAATTTTGTTTTGTATAATCTAATTCCTACCAGAGGGTTTACATTTAAATTAAGACACTTAAGAAATTCAATTATTAATTTGTAAGAGAAAATTAATCTTATTGTATATAATACAGATAGGGAAATTTGGAGAGAGGAGTTGCTCGGACATTACCCCTGAATTGTATCTGAAGAGGGATGAGAGGGAAGAAAGGAGAGGAGAGAGAAAAGAGTAAAGGAGGGGAGAAGGAAGTAGGAAGGTTGGAGGAGAAGAGGAGAAGTGGGGAGAAAGGGGAGGAGAGTGGTGAAGGAAAGAGAAGAGGAGAGGAAGAAGAAGGAAGTAGGGAAGAGAAGAAAGGGAGAAAGAAGGTAGAGAAGAAGGAGTGTGGATACGATGAAAGGGGAAATGGGCGAGCAACACTAAAAGTCATGTGTATGTATTTATTTCATTTTGTTAAAAGTATCTTATATATGAATGTAAAACGAATGTATGTTAACATCTGATAAATATCACGGTATATGTATGGGGGAGAGTTTGGAAAAATAAAAAAAATTATTAAAAAAAGAAAGAAATTAAATCATTAATTTATGAATTAATTCAGTTTTATTTACTTAATTTAATTCAAGAAATTAAGGTCTTTTCCCTTTAACTTTGAGAGTCCCAAATTTTTAAACCAGAGGAATTCTCTTTGATCTGGATAAGCCACAGATGTCTTTATCTTTACAGGCCACCATGTTATCTTTGGAATCAGAGTTGCAGCGCCTACAGGAATTCAGTGCGCATCAGCGCAAACGCATTGCTGAGGTCCTCAATGGCCTTATGAAAGATCTGAGTGAATTCAGCGTCATTGTGGGCAATGGTGAGATCAAACTGGTAAGCAGCTGGTAGGAGGTCAATGTTTGGAAATAAGAAAAGTAGTCATTCACTCTCAGTTTAGAAACATATAATGTTTTTCTTTGGGAGTATCTGCTATATTTAATCAAGCCCTTTTAAATGCTATGCCCAACTAAAAAAAAAAATAGAAACAGAGGGGTTCATTTAAGGCATTTAAGTGCTGGCATTACTGCATACAAAAATGGAAGAAAGTACGAAAAACTACTTAGAAATAATGGAATTTAATGATCTGGGAACAGAGTCATCTGATGAGCAAAGGAAAGAAGGAAGGATGTATAAACTGTTCTGCTTCTTAGAATCATACATTGAACTATGTGCCCCAAATAATACGTTTTCTTTTAAAATTGTTAATTTGTAGCCAGTAGAAATTAGTGGTGCCATTGAGGAAGAATTTACTGTTGCCCGGCTCTACATCAGCAAGATCAAATCAGAAGTGAAATCAGTTGTGAAACGTTGCCGTCAGCTGGAAGGTCTTCAAGTTGAGTGCCACCGCAAGATGGAGGTGACAGGACGGGAATTATCTTCTTGCCAGCTTCTCATTTCTCAGGTCAGATTTATGGAAGTGGAGATGAAAGGACACTAGCTATGGCATTTAAAACTGATAAAGGGTAGAAATAAGAGGGACCAGAATACCTCTCATAGGAAAGCATCTAGATTTTCACAATCTGGGTAAGGAATCTCTGGCCTTCCAGATCTTATTGAATTAACATCCCCTCCATCTTTCATTGTTGGCCATCATGCTGGGTGGGATTGATGGAAATTATAGTGCAGCAGTATCTGGGATTTATAGGCTACCTACCTCAGTTTTATGTTTGAGAGCTAGGAAGTAGAAAAAGTAATACAATCCGATCAGGAACTGCATTGGATTTAATTAGCTTTCTTTTCTTCCAATCTGGAGTAGAAAAGGGATGATCTCCCATGCCGTCAGGAAAGGACTATGTCGGAGAGAAGTTTGACAAATGTTTTAAAGGATTACTTCTTTGAACAACCTGGCCCTCTGTTATTTCTTAGTCAGCTCCTATAAAGAGGTATCAGGAAACCTGAAGCTCCAGCTTTAAGGAAGACAGATAAGATGGAAAAAATTTTTGGGGAGATCGTTGAGAGCTCCTAATTCAGGAGACCTTAGCTGACTGGTTAAAACTTTGGTTTGGTGTCTAGATTCAGGAGCTCTGGAGCTTGTACCACTGGTTTTGTTGATCCAGTTTATCGCTTCTACTATTGTTTCAGTAGGGAGAAGATACCATTGGTACCAATCCATGAATATTTCTTACAGCAAATCTATAGAAGTCAAATGGTTGGCATGTGTCTTTAAATATTTATACATATATATCTGGGAGACCAAGCTCAAGCAGAGTGTCTAGAAGCGCATACACAGCTGTTTCCCAGCAGGAATCTTAATGTTCTTTTGGACATGGTAATATCTGTAACAATGGATCAGCATAAACTGTGGAGCATGGTGTCATTGGAAGCTAACCTGAGAGTGGGATTTTTTTTCTTTTTAAAAAAAATCATAGAGGGTTTATTCCTTCTCCTATTTCCATTTTTTTCAAATACTAGCTCATATATTACCCTTCTTTCTCTAATGCCACTATTCTAATCCATTTTTCAACCTTCTCACGATTGCTTCTAATTGTGTATGAAAACAATGAGAAATCTAATTATAGATCACTTTGGTACACAGAGCTCTGTTTTAATATTTAATATTTTGGGATGTATCCCTAGGGCCAGACTTCATGCTGTTGCATATCGTGATTCTATATACCAATTTTTAAAACCGGATCAGAGAAATAGCAGATTGAGGATAAGTTAAATTCTTTCTCCATTTTTTGTTTCCCAATTCTGGATCACACAAACATTCCTTTCTTTTAATTAAAAAATTCTGCTGGCAAGTGTTCATGAATCCACAGTTCCATGAAGAATTTTATGAGGGTGTATGTGAAATGGGGAGATCACACAACATATCTACACCCACAAGCACTCACACTGATTATTTTTTGTTCCAAAAACATTTCCTGTTTCAAATAGTCATTAATGATTCATCTAATTAATATTAATCCTAATTTAATCTAATCTAATTAATCATGTGTATTATTTCTTAGAAGTGGTCCTATTGGTTGCAGCTTCTGGATGTACTTGCATAGAATTGTACTGTAAACTATGATAGGCATACCCTTGAAATACAGCATGGAAGGGGCTTTTTGATTGTTTGGTCTTCTCTTTGTTTTGGAACTCTGAAGATGTATTTGAGAAGAAACGACAGTTTCCAAGTTTGGACAGGCAGAAAGTTGAGTTCTTCCTCATAGAAAATAAGATTAGGAAGTCTGGAATCTGGACTACGTTTGTGAAAGGGATCTCTTATTTGCTTACATTTCCCAATCTTCTCAGCATGAAGCCAAGATCCGTTCACTTACTGAGTACATGCAAAGTGTGGAGCTGAAGAAACGGAACCTGGAGGAATCTTATGATGCTCTGAATGAAGAGTTGGCTAAATTGCAGGCCCAAGGTAATATGGATGGTAGTGGGCTTATGGCATAGTTTATGACTGGTACAGAAGTATGTAAATAATTCAGGAAATGTGTTGATGGGAGAAATGGCAGAATACATAATTGAATGCAGAATGTTTGAGTCCTTGTGTATAGTGTTGTTTGCTTGCAAGTGCCTTTGACTATGTGTGAATCTTCACAATAGCTCCTTCCTATTATTATTTATTATGTGTAAGTAGCTTGTTCATTTGTTTACATAATCCTTTCTTATATGCATAATGGTATGAAGCAGGTTACCGTTTCTCTTTTATAGATGAAGGAGGGAGGGTATGCAGAAGAAGTCTTTTTTTTTAAAAAAAAAAAATCTTTTTACTCCACTCTTAAACCTTGAGATTGAGAGATTAAATTGAAGGAATAACCTGCTCAAGAAACCATGGTAAATTAAATGAGCAATTGATGTTTTAGCCTAATCTTCTAGATCAAGAAAGCAGATTACTGATCTAACACTGGTCACCAACCCATGCTCTAACTCTGTCTCCATCCTCTCATTAAGGATCTTTCTTCTCTCCCACAGAGACTGTGCATGAAGAAGCCAATGAGCAGGACCTGATACAAGATACAGATGAAGTCAAAGTTAGTACAAGAGATAAGGCACGTCTTTCTTCATCAAGGGTGTTATTCCTCTTGTGCAATCCCTTTGGCCCCTGGCAGCATTAATTAAAAAGAGGGGTAGAGATGGGGGAAATAAAGAAAGATAGAGAGACAGAGGCCCAGACAGACGTATTTCAGGCTCTAAAAGGAGAACTGTCATGGTCAGAAGATGAAGAGGAGTTACAGGAGAGTCATCAGCCTGAGCACATTCACTGGAAGAGTTGCAGGCAGGGAAAGCAGTATTGCCTAGCAACCTGGAGAGGCAGCTATCAGAAGCCTTAGAAGATGAAGAGGCGGAGCTAACACGTCCCCCCTGTGCAAGAGCCTAACAGGAAGAGAAGAGGACTGAGCAAAGATGCTCAACAAAACTATGGGCCATAAAGAATACAGACACAGACAGACAGACAGACAGACACACACACACACACACACACTGCCTCCCCCCCAAGGAACAAATCCAAATCTCACTGCCCCTATATAAGGAATGCCCCAACTCTTTAGCTTATCTTCTCAAGGAGTAAGCCTGGATTCTGATGCCACAACTGACTGACCCTCTGGTACCTTATTTATGATTTGAACTCTCTCTTGCCTCTAATTTAAGCTGGTTGATTTTTGTGGTCCGGGTAAGTCATGAGGGACGACGATTGTTTGTCAAACCATTTTTGCCATTAGAGTTGTTCTCGAATACTTATTTAGTAAAGATATAAGACTTAACTGTGCACTTGTGATATCCATGAGCCAGAATAGGACAAGAACAGAGAGGACAAGCATATGATGGGCTGTTGAGAGTATAGCTTTGCTGGAAAATAATATAATTTTGAAGAGTATCCAAGATTTGCTGCTTTATGAGGGGCCTTAGCACTGCTATCTACACATCTGAATTGCTTTCCTTCCTGCAGAAGGCCTTGGAAGTGCAGCTAGAGAATCACCGTGAAGCCCACCACAAACAGTTGGCACGACTACGTGATGAGATCAACCAGAAGCAGAAAATCATCGATGAGCTTAAAGAGTGAGTAATTTTTAGGCTGGGGCAAGATGTCCTGATGGGAAGGAGAGAGATTCTCATTATAAGATAGGTTATGTTGGAGATGAGAAGCTGTTGGTTTTGGGTTTTTTTTGGGCAGGGCCCAAAATCAGTTTCAAGAGACTGATGGCAAAGTATCAGCAGAAAATTGAACAAAGTTTACAAGGCAGGAGGAATGTGAAAAGAATAAAATAAGCAGCAACCATTTATGAACATGTGTAGAATAGAAATTAGGAGCAAAGATGGAAGTTAGGGCAAGGATAATCATCCTTGACCAACCTCACATCCTCCAGCTGTGTTAGGACTGCAACTCCCAGTTACTAACAATTTGAGCTTTATAGTCTTTCTTAATAAGTCTGGAGGAGCCAAATAGGAGAAATCTCATGTTAATTAACTCTAAAAGTAATGACAATGTGGTATAGCTTGAGTTGTTTACTACTGTAAACCCATATCTCTTGTGTGACATAAATTCAGCTGTCAGGAATCCTTTAATTTGTGTATAATCAATAGGATTTATAGGCTGGTAATTAAGATCCTGAGACTATGAACTAAATCTAATTTAATGCCAGTAATTCCTTCCTGAGAGCTGAAGCTTATTCAATAGAACTGGTCCTAATAAAAATTCCTTAGGCTGGATTGCTGCAATTAAAAATTCATTTATACCAATGCTAAACCTGCAAGTATATTCAAAATTAGAAGCTGGTTGTGATGGAAATGCTTAAAAGATGGTTGAAGCAAATATCCTCTTTTATATATTGTCCTGAAATACAGTCCCTTAAGCATCAAGGCTTTGACTCTTTAGTCTCCATGTCTTGAGCCTTTAGCACTGAATCCTTTTGCAGATCTTATGCTAAATTGAAAGGCTGCTGGATAATTATGACAATCTGTTTATCATCCCAACAATAGCATATTTCTCCATACATTCTTTCCTGTCCAGCTTAAACCAGAAATTAGAACTTGAACTGGAGAAACTTCGTGCTGACTATGAGAAACTCAAGAACGAGGAGCAAGAGAAATCACAAAAGCTTCAGGAGCTGACGTGAGAATTCTTCCCTTCCAGAGATATTTTCAGTTGCCTTTCTTCATCCCTGAGTTTAAGAATAAGTCCCACCATCTAAAACAAAATGTGTTTGGTCCTGATGAATTCTGGGATTTGATGCCATAAGGCATCAGCTGAGAAAAGCTAATGTACATTAAATCTATGTAGTGAGCTGAGGAAGAAACTATAACTCAATTGAATGAGGACACATTTAATAATTCAAATATATTTGGTTTAAAAAAGAACATTTATCAGATTGACCCAAAAAGGTGGTCTTAAATTGAAGATGATCCTTCACAAGGAAATGTCATGACTGGGTCTTATTTCATATTTCTAAAGCTTTGCACACTTCCTGTTTCCTTCCCCTTCCAGTAAGAACTTGTTCAAGCCTGCTGTGTCTCACTTCCTTCTTCATTGCTTCCATAATGACCCATATGGGGGTTCTTCTTTTCCTACATAGAATAGCTCTAGAACATTTTACAGCTTGGGTCAAAACAGATGGTGCTCAATCCCCAATTCTAAGAGATTATTTATATTCATCTGCAATCGAGTTATCTGGAAGGGATCAGAGAACCATTCTACCTCAGTTGTACTTGTTTTTCCTCTGCCACCAAATCTGCCTACTCTCACATATATGCAGTTGAAGTTTCCCTCCTTCAACAAAAAAACCCTATTTCCTAAGACTTTATAAAACAGGCATGTACAATCTAAGGTGGTTAACCTGGAATGGAACCCATAGATCCCCTCCAAAAATTGCCATTAATCGTGACAATTTTTCAAAGGGCAGAAGACATGATGATTAGGCATCTGGGGAATGATTGTATCAAGTCACGTTTTTGTCCTAGTTCTATTGTCTTCGGTTCTGTACTCACCTACATTTTGGAATATGTAGTTATGCCACTCAAAGGATCAATGAGACTTTTAGGCTGGTAAAAGTTGTAAAAGAGTATAAAAGCTCAGAACATGAAAATTAATTTAGCCATTATTTTTTTAAATCAATTTGTACAGCTGCCCATCTCAATAAATGACTGGGCAGCAAACAATATCAAAATAAAAATAAAAACAAGTACAAGAATGAACATACATAGAAGCCAAGGAAGAATTGCAATCCACAGTCACTAACACAGCTAGGAGATGGGTCCCTTCACACCTCCATGGCCCCCGGCCTGGGCAGAAAGCCAACTCTTTACAAAAGATCTGCAAGACTGAGAACATCCTGCTCCCCAAGAGAGAATATTCCATCAGGCAGACGCTACTTCAGAAAAGGCTCACTTTCTAGGCCCCATCAAACGACATTCCTTTGAAGCAGCCCATCCTGCATGTCTATGACTGCCTCTAGTCTTGACCATATGCAGGATTCTAAAGCTTAAGGTAATGGACAGCACCTGCTTGTGCTACCAGTTATGCTTCAGTGAGGACAATTAAATTCTTATGAGAACACTTTTCCCAATGTTGTCTTTGTCTCACACGTTCTTTCTGCTTCACAGATTTCTCTACGAGCGCCATGAGCAGTCCAAGCAAGACCTCAAGGGGCTGGAGGAGACCGTTGTAAGCATCCCAAAAGGCAGTGTTCTCTCATCACTGGTGAATAGACTCACATCTATGGCAGCAGCATTGGGTACAAGGAGGACTCTGTCATGTGATGGCCACTTTTTAGGACTCCCAGCTGTTGTAAAAAAAAACCTGAAAATTTAATCACTTTTTTCCCTCTTGTGGCCCTTTTTTATTCCATTCCCCTTCCTGGTGAAGTAAATCTGAAGGGGTGTGATGGTGATTGGCACTATTGCAGAAAGATTTGGAGGGAGAGCTTACTCACTATTAATCTATTTCTGCTATCTTTTGCTCTCCTTGTGAAGCTATGTTAGAAGGGAGTTAAAACTACTAAGGCGCACAGACAGGTTCACCCCATTTTCAGAGTCTCTCTAGAATTACCTAGAACAGTGATGGCGAACCTTTTAGAGACCAAGTGCCCAAACTGCAACCCCAAACCCACTTATTTATCTCCGGGTGCCAGGTGGTCATGGCAGACTGGGTGGGTGTGGCCAAGGTTGCTTATGGGGAGGGACGCCTGTGGGGACTGGACAGGGTTGGGGGAGATCCAGGGAGTCTCTGGCAGGTGGGGCGGTGGGCTGGAGGCTCATCCTGTGGAGTGAGGTGAGGCAGCCATTGTCACAGGGCAAGGCGAGGCAGGGACCGGGGTGGCTGCTGCTGACACTATTGGCCTGCGCACACAGAGGCCAGTAAGTGCATGGGGGCTGACAGTGTCCGTCAGCAGCCACAGCCTGCCGGCCCCTTGACTGGCGCACTCTAGGGCTCTGCAGCCCACCGCCAGCAGTTCAGAGAAGCCGACTCTGAGCTGGATGGATGGCTGACAGCTGAGGAGACGATGTAATGGGTCATGCCCGGGAAAAGGAGAGCATGAGAGGCCAGGAGGGATGGGACAGGGGGAAGGAAACCAGCCATGCTGCGATGTATCTGGCCATGTCAGATCTCGGCGAGTTAGTGGGCAGCTGGTTGAAGAGGGACGGTTGCCATCTCTGGGGCATGGCACGCGTGCCCACAGAGAGGGCTTTGAGTGCAGCCGCTGGCACGCGTGCCATAGGTTCGCCACCACTGACCTACAGTATATCCTTGTAAAACAACTAATTGCCTCATAAGTAGTTTGCACATTAACTGACTTTATCCATGGAGAGCAGCAGTTTATCTCTTTGGGGCTTAATCTGACAAGAGTTGGTTGAGCAAGTGACTAATGTAGCTTAAAGAGTTGACATAATATCCTCCCCTTCTGTGACCCAGTTAAATGTGTTTTGGGAATAGAACCAGAGGAAGAGAATGGGAGGCTAAAACATCTTATCTCAACTTGCCTTTCTATGTGTGTGCCCTTCTAGGCCCGTGAACTCCAGACCCTCCACAACCTTCGCAAGCTGTTCGTTCAAGACGTCACGACTCGAGTTAAGAAAGTAGGTACTCTTGAAACTCATCAAAAACTTGTGAATCTTTGAAACACTTTATCTTTGAAAGGAATTTTTATAAAAACCTCTTAAAACTGGAGACTAGCCGTTCTGTCCCCAAATTGCAGGTTGGAGTGAGTTATTGTATTTGCCTAAAGCCACCATCTGAAGTCATTGAAAGGGTGGGATATGATGTGAAAGCAAATCTGTGTTGATGTGCCATGTCTCTTAGGTATTATTCTACACTAGCTAGACTCCTTGAAAATCCTCTGATTCACTAATAACTGTAAAATTAGGTAGTCTTAGTAAGATAGGGTTGGAGCCTCAACCCAATCTTAGGAAACCCTCTGTGCAGGTCAGATGTGTTCTTTCCATTGGAAAGGAAATTCGCTTTCTCCTAATTTCCCCACATGGCAGTTTTGAATCTTTACTCAAATTAAGGTAGAAAATGGTTTTGTTGAACATTTCTTAGTCAAGTTAGATTAAATTCACAGTCATTCCCAATTCTGGAGCCCATATTTGTCATTCCTTATCTTGTATGATCCACATTTTACACTTGGAATTACAGTTCTTTGTGGAGGCAACTAAAGAACAAAGTTTAGTGTGGACCGATCCAAATAGTTTCCTTTGGGCTTTGCACTGCTGGTGCCACTGCTGTACTATCTCATACAGAGAATCTTCCTCTTTCCCCATCTCCTTCACTGCTGCAGAGATAAATATCTTCTTGCTGTTTCTTTCCAGAGTGCGGAGTTGGAACCCGAGGACAGTGGGGGGGCTCATTCCCAGAAACAGAAGATTTCCTTTCTTGAGAACAACCTGGAACAGCTTACAAAAGTTCACAAACAGGTGAGTGGCTGAGTGAGAGCCAAGCAACTACAAAGAGGGATGGAGCAGTTGGAGAGAATAAGGGCAGCTAGTGAATTCAGTGCTATTTTCGTTCTTATACAGTAGTTAGTCTATTGAATAGGAATCTTTTTCCCTATCTCCATTTTGCAGTCTCCATGTATTGTAGCAGCATTGAATGTGTGTTTGTAAAGCCATTTGGATGCTCTCTCAATTTTTTTCATTCACTTCCTAGGACATGTTCTTAGTTTGCTTTGGAGTTCACATAAGGCAGGATCAATATATTGCTCAGGCCTACTCTCTGACTCTTTCTATAATAAAACTCCTGCCCATATCTGTTCCATTTAATATTAAGTTTGCTTAAATCACAGTGGGGAATAGGTGAGCCTGATAGATATTGCCAAATGATAACTCCTGGAATTTATTTCCCGCCTTTATTATTTTTATAAACAATTCAAGATGATGAACATACCTAATACTCCTTCCTCCTCCTTGTTTCCCCACAACAATGAAATGGATTGGACTGAGAAAGAGTGACTAACTCAAAATCACACAACCAGCTTTCATACCTAAGGCAGGACTAGAACTCACAGTCTCCTGGTTTCTAGTCTGGTGCCTTAACTGCTGCACCAAATTGGGTAAAAATATGATCAGCTTTTCTGCAAGGCTGGCTAGAAAATATGGTTTACCAAATTTAGAAGACAACAGGTTTCTTCTTCCTACTTTTCCATCGAAATAGAGTCCATTGATCCCAAAACTCATCACAAAGTCTTGGCTTATGCTGAACTGTCTCCTGTTTTCTGCTAATCCATAATAATTTGCCCTTCGTACTGTATCAGTATCCTTGATTATTTGGCAAGAGTTTAAGAGAGAAGAGGTGCATGCTCATATCTTTTATCACTCCCTACCAGAGGGTGTATTTCTGAGTGTGTAGCAATTCACGAGGATTATAGCATGTAGTTCCGTGGATTTTAGGGAATCAAGAATGTATATTTAAGTTTAGATAAATTATGCTTATGTACAGGAAGAAGAAATAGAACATTGTAAAAAAATAGAAATCAATGTGTCAAAATAAGATCTTCTGAGAAAAGGATACGTAGGTAATTCAGTAAGGCAGTGTTTCCCAAACTTGACAATTTTAAGGCATGTGGACTTTAACTCCCAGAATTCCACAGCCAGCAATGCTGGCTGTGGAATTCTGAGAGTTGAAGTCCACATGCCTTAAAATTGTCAAGTTTGGGAAACACTGCAGTAAGGGTTCCCACAAATTACTGCATGGTGTGCTGTCTGATTATTGTTGTGTCTTCATGCAAGCATTAAAAGGAAATATTATTAGTCATATAAATAGGGCAGCAGAGGAAAAGAGTTAGGGAGAAAAACCTAATACATTATCTAACTTGGTGGAATGCATGTGTGTGATTATATACATTCGTTGGATCTTTACTTATAGCTTCATACATTTTATTTCAGTGATAGATAGGCAAATTAGTGCCCCCTGGAAGTTTTACAGTGTAACTTAACTATTTACTCGCTTGCTTGGCCTAGATTAACACTTCAGTCACTAATCTCTCTGGAAGTATATATAGTACCATTGTGAATTAGTTAGAAGTTTAAACATAGAAAGATCAAATATAGAGGAGTATGGAGATGGTCTTGTATGCAGCAGCCATTACAAAAAAATTAGCTTAGCTTGGGAAGATGGAGGGGATGGGTGAGGAAGAAGCTCAAGATTGCCCTGCCTTGATTCACTTTGGTATAAAAGGGAGAGAGAAACTCTGTCAGGCTTTCCAGATTCTGTTATTATAAGGAAGTAGAGTTTCATTACTTCCTAGGAAGTCTGTTTCCTGACCTGGTAAAAACATTTTACGATACAAGATTTTTAAAGTCCCAGATTTGAGCTCTTTTGTTGATGAGTTTTGCTTTCAGAGATCACGAGGAATCCAAAGCCCTGTGGCTGGAATGGAAAGAAAAAAGAGAATTGTATCTCTCCCATTATAAACAATAGGAGGGACTTTTTAAATGCCATGTAAGAATGTAGCAAAGGGAGCAAGAGATATTTGATTCCTGCAGATAAAGGTGGTCCTCGGCTTAAGACCACAATTGAGCCCAAAATTTCTGTTGCTGAGATATTTGTTAAGTGAATTTTGCCCCATTTTACAACCTTTCTTGACACATTTGTTAAGTGAATTTCTGCCATTGTTAAGTTAGTAACACAGTTGTTAAGTGAATCTGGCTTCCCCATGGACTTTGCTCCTCAGAAGCTCGCAAAAGGGGATCACATGACACCTGGACACTACGACCATCATAAATAAGAGCCGGTTAGCAAGCGTCTGAATTTTGATCACATGACCAGTGGGATGCAGGAATGGTTGTAAGTGTGAAAAATGATCAAAAGTACTTTTTTCAGTGTTGTTGTAACTTTGAACAGTCACTAAATGAACTGTTATAAGTCAAGGGCTACCTGTATAAAAGCCCTGACCTCTTCCTATACATGTCAAAATTTTAAAAGATTGGCTAATGTTTCTGCAGAGGCCAAAAGGAGGGATCTCAGATCATCTTTCTCTCTCTTCCCAAAGAATTCTCCAACCCCAAGGGAAAGCACTTTTATCATCCTTGTGATGTTCTTACAAAGTCTATAGGGGTGCAGTCTTAAATTAAAAGGCAGAAGCAGTATATATGATTGTGGTTGTGCTGTTATACCCATTGAGCTGGGAGTAATCCCAGCTTTAGGAAGAATGTAAGATTGTTTCAGAAAGAGAAAATAATTCAGGCCAATGTCTCTACCAAGAGACAGATCATAAGAAGAAGAGCAGCAATAACAACAAAACTTTTAAAAGAGCTAAAGACCAAACCTATAATTCCCAAAAGGGAAATGCACTGTTTCAAGAGCCTTATTTTGCTGATAAAATATTATATTTATTTTGCCTTTCAGGGGAGGCAACAGAAGTGTTTTTTTTTAAAAAAAAAAATAATGTACTTAGTGCAAGTTTTCCTTCTTTGAAATTTCAACCTCCTTCTCTTGGCCTTAGAAGTGGCTTAAGTGGTAGATGTAAAAATGTAAAAATTCACAAACTACCAGTATTCATCTCCCTTTTTTAACTGCCTTTCCAAATAGTGAACATTTTGAAGCTATGTTGTAAGTTTAACTACATTTATTAAGAAATAATTCCTTGAAAAACACTGGGTTTTTTTTTTTTTTTGAGATAGAAGTTTCTTGGCACAATTTGCATCCTGTGATAGTTTCAAAACAATAAAGTAAAAAGGATAAGAAAGGCTATCCAGACATTTGTTGTAGCAACAAGGAAGATTCCAAACAGAGTGAAGGAATCATTCACAAATAATTATGTGTCCTTTTTTAAAAAAAACCTGAAGAGTTTTGAGTGATGAAACACTTGAGAAATATTTATTTAGGTGGAGGCGGAAAACCTGAGGAATATGCAGCTGGAGGATGAGCTCATGAAGCTAGCCTTTTAGTAAGTCCAATCATTGATCCATTGAATTAGCCGAGGTTAAAAGCAGATACAGCAGTCATACAAAAAGGGTTGGCAGCATGCAACAAAGTGTTCCAAATCCATAATCATAAATGAAAAACAGACGTACAGATCATATCAGAGTGAGACAGTTATAACACATGGCCCGTATAATCAACGCACTGCGATTTTGGGACATAAGGCAACAAGATGCATGTTACATCTAAGAACCCTGGCCTCAGAAACTTACACCCTTGCAGGACTTACTTCTCTGTTCTTTCATACTGCGGCATGGACATATTGCGGGGGGGGGGGGGGGTCAGTGAATCTTCTTTAGGATTTGAAGAAGTTGGAGAAATGGGATCCAGTTCAGGTTCCGCAGCAGAACTCGGGTCTCTAGGGAGGTTCTATAACATGGGTGTCAAACTCGCCGCGTCATGTGACATGTCGCGAAGTATTGTGACTTTTTTCCGCATTGCTGGAGCTGGGGTGGGCATGGCTTCCACATGATGCAACCGGCCCACGGGGCCAGCAGTTTGACACCTCTGTATATAGCCTCCTAATAACCGTTTCCTCTTTGTCTGCTTCAGGCTTGGAGCTCTCATCATCCTCTGCAACCTTGTTTACTGAGATGCCAGGGACTCAATTTGGTTTTTCTGCATGCAAAGGAAAAGGTGCATCCACAAATAATGTGTACTCCCCAGCAGCAGATTAAAGAATGGCTCTTCCTTGCTTAGCTTTATCCATGAGAAATTACCATTTTTGTCCCGCGGGAACGGTGTCTTCTAGTACAATACAGAAAACACTCCTTAGCAGCTGGCTCAGCAGGAATTACCCAGCTCTCTTATCCTGGCTTTCAGATTCTGTTTCCAGTCAAATTGGTACTTCCGTACTTCTCCCTTCTGGTTCCTTTTTCCTTCCCAACAAGCCATGAAACCGTGGTAGCTTTAATTGAAAACCTCACACTTGTTTCCAGGTGCAATTTGGTGAGATTTTGCAGTTGGTCTTGGGAAGTTTCAAGCAATGAATGGAATGAAAACAGCAGGAAACAGAAAGAAGTGAGATGGATATGCATTTCAGGCTTTAGGCCTTTCATTCCCTCATAAAATCATATATTTACTGAAGTGAGGAAATTAGACAAGATGGCGAACTACCAAAGGACTATGTGTATTTAGAAAGAATGTTGGTAGGTGTTTGCTTATATCCATTCCCTGCACTGCTTCTCATACCCATCACATATGATTTCCAATATCCTTGTTCTGTTCTCCTTCCTCCTTCAATCGTCTCTGCTTACTTTAGCTGAGTAAGATGGTAGAAAGACATTTCTGCCACATCTCATGCCCAAAAGAGAGAACTTTCCTTATTTTCAGATCAGGAAAGGAAGATACTACTCTGATAGCAGCAGCCAGAAGCAATAGACATTGCTGGGGTGTATCTCTCTGGGTTTCCAGAGCAGGGTTTAATTGGGGACTCTGCTGATGCGCTCAGTCATGTCTGTATCCCCCCTTTTCCCATTGCTGCTGTATCCTAGCTGGATCGCTGGGTCTCCAAGGTACCGTACAGCCTCTCTCACCTCTTCCTCTGCCTGTTGGGCTGGGCAGGAAATGTTTGCACTTGGTAACCAAATTGGGAGTACAGATATATTTTTTTGAGGGGAGTGTGAGGACATTGATTGGGGGAAAAGGTCAGGTGCCTCTTTCTCACCATTCCTCTGCCATGGCAACTCCATCCAGGTTGGCCCTTTGCTGCCATGGCAACCACTACCATTGTGGCCTTTGTGTCTGTACAAAGGCCTCATTCTCAGCAGCTTCATGTATGTGGTTTCTACTATCCATTCTCTTGCCATGGCAATCCTGACCAAATCCTACACAGCATCTGTCACAAAAAGAAAAAAAAAGTTAAAGCTTAGCTGTCCCACACTAAAATCTCAACAGCAATGCTCTTTCCTCCACTACAACGTTAAGTAGATACAAATAAACATCAAAATAGATGAATTTCAGATAATTTCCCAGTTTGAGGCCACATAGCCTCCTCAGTAACAACTAAAATTCAACTTGTATTGGTCATGCTAGCTGGGTCTGATGGGAATTGTAGTCCAACACATCTAGCAGACATATTACAGAAGATTGCCCTACAATTTTCTGGAAAAACATGGTTCATAAATTCTCACTTTGTGCTTCACCCCCTTTCTGGTTTGATATCAATCTCCGAATATGGGAGCTAAATGTTATTATCTCAAACATTTTCTCTCCCTCCCTTGGAGGCTGGGCTGCCCAGTAGTTTTCCTGCCAATTACTATTGTGCTGCTGGCTGCCCCTTGAGTAATTGTTCATCTCAGGCCATTAAGCTGTCACCTCATGTTGCTTACCTGCCTGGTGTTTAATTCAAGTTTACATATGGTGAGAGTTAAATGGATCATTGTGAGTCCTCGGCCTTTATCTCCCAACCTTGCATTTCATAAAATGTTCCCATCCCAGCATGGTGCATGGCTTGGATCTGCAGCACTTGGGCAAACACTGGGGCCTGCTTAATGGGAACAAGGGATGGGTGTCACCTGTAAAGGGCAGTGGCTTATCCCCAGCATCTGTGACAACCATAGGTTGGCTTTAATAGATGTGCAACAAAGAGAACTTCAGTTGGTGTGGTATTTGGGTTATTTTTTCTCCATGTCATTATAACCTGGAGCAGTGGCCAGTTATGTTAAAAATGTCCCTTTTGAGTGTTTATTGAAATGCCTCCGAGCTCTGCTGCTTTTCACTCTGGCATTCCTCAAGGCCAGCTCCATAGGAGTTTTCCATCATGGCGTTCAGAAGTAGGGCAAGAGTAAACATAAACCTTGTTCTTTCAAATTGATATGTTGGCTTTGAATATGCCCTTCATATGTTGCCCTGAGGGGCATATTCAGACATTCCTCCAAAATCTATGATAGAAGGAGATAAGATGTTGTATAGCAGTTCCCTTCTAGGAAAAAAAAAATCACACTTCTGAGGTGTGAGATTTCCAGGTAGATCAGATTGGGTAGAATTAGTGCATACTGTGTCTTTTTCTGGATAAGGGCAGAATGCAAGAAACGGAGCAGAACCATCGTGAGATTGGAGGCAAGAGCAAGTGTTTCAGGTGTTGAGGAATGGAGTTGTTCTGCCTTGTCGGCTTCACCTCCCTTACTTTTCTTTCCCTTTCTTGTCAACGTGGGTCCCAGCTGGTTCGTGACAATGCAGATCTGCGTTGTGAGCTTCCTAAACTGGAGAAACGTCTTCGGGCTACGGCTGAGAGAGTTAAGGCCCTGGAGGGTGCACTGAAGGAAGCCAAGGAAGGGGCAATGAAAGACAAGCGCCGCTACCAGCAGGAGGTAGATCGCATCAAGGAAGCGGTGCGCTACAAAAACAGCATGAAGCGCAACCACTCTGCGCAGATTGGTAAGCCAACAAATTCTGTAGATTGGGGGTTAGATCCTGGTGAGCATGGAGAGAGTTCTCCGTGGTAGCAGGTATTTTATTGATAATATGTTTTAGGAAGGAGCAGATATCTTTTCTACTTGGCTGAATGTGTACATTCCAGGAAATCATAATGCAGTATTTGGTAACACTGTGGAGTACTTTTGATTCAATTTGGAAAAGGTAGTTTGGAAGACTATCATATCAATGCTGAATCAATCTGAAATGTGTTAAAGCAGTCTTTCATTTTCCACAAACGTTTCTCCTATAGGCACATGATCCTTAACATTTTACAGGTAGTCCTTGACTTAACGACTGTTCATTTAATGACCATTCGAAGGTACAATGACCTTGGAAAGGGTGCTTTACAGTTTGTAAACTGGATGTTGTGAAACATTACATGATCATGGGGTGTGTATGTATGATGTTTCACAACATCCAGTTTTTAAACTGTAAAGCACGCTTTCCGAGGTCATTATACCTTCAAATGGTCATTACATGAGCAGTTGCAAATGCTTGGGTGCTTGGCAACTTGTTTGCACTTACAACCAGTTGCCAAGTGCCCCATGATCATGTAATCACAATTTGCAATTTTCTGCACCAGTTTTCCCAGAAAATCCGTAGGAAAGCTGGCAGGGAAAATTGCAGACTGCTGCCACCTACCACAGAGTTGAGATTCCTTCTGTGCAGGAAGCTCTTTGAGAGCAAAAGGGCTGCCAGCCAGGTGGGAATCTCAACTCTGCATGGAGATGAGATTCCTTCCTCCCCACAACTTGCAGGCAACCTTTGAGAGCAAAAGGTCTACTTGCCAAGGGGAGGGGAACTCCTCCAGCAGAATTGGAGCTTGGATCCCTGCAGCCCACTTCAGTAGCACCCTTCCATGCATGGAGGAGAGTTAAACTCTTCCAATGGGGTGGAGAAATAGAACTCAGATCCTGAAAATCCTAGCTCCATGAATTAATTAATAAATTAATGGTGTATGTTTGTGTGTCTCTGTGTGTGTACACACACACACACACACACACACACACACACAGAGAGAGAGAGAGAGAGAGAGAGAGAGAGAGAGAGACCATACATCCTTTATTATAATGGATAGTCCTTTATTTCAGAAAGCTTTTCTTTAAATTTAATTATTTATTTTCTTGGTTTTGCTCTTGAGCTTTCCTTTGTAAAGAAAAGTTATAAACAAACAATTTTATAATTCTTATTCAGATTTATCCCTTTTTTCAGTTTGTCCTTTACTCTGCCAAGATAATATGGTTTATACATGACATTTGTTTCTTCTTGAAGCTAAACCAGTGCGACCAGGGCACTATCCAGCTTCATCCCCGACCAATCCTTACGGTGTCCGTAATTCTGATTGCATCAGCTACACCAATAGCCTCTTCCAGAATTATCAAAATGCTTACCTGAATTCTGGCAGCACTGTGCCTGACAGCTAGTGAGTATATTTTACTTCTACTTCCATTACATTATGCAAACTGTGATTGGTTTAAGTTGTGGTTGGCTTAAGCAAATTTCCGAGATGAATCTATCAGTTTTTCAGGAGGCAACCTGAAGAACATTTTGCTCCATAAGTCAAGCTTTAATGTGTCATCATTTCATTTGGTTTACATTAAACCTGATCTAAAACATGTCTTGTCTTAGCTATTGGTTGATTGCAAAGAGTAGGCCTAGGCCAACTGTATTTTTTTTTTTTTTTTTGGATCTGGACTCTGGAATTCTAAAATAATTTGAATGTACAAGATCCACTATATATTATCATGGGGAAAAGAAGGCATACCAGAAGAATGAATTTGTATTTGCTTATGTGTTGGCTGGTATAACCTACTTTTTAAAAGATAATCTAGGATACATCAAGTCTGAGCTGGAGATATAAATTACTCACCAGATCATTACAATCTTCATAAATACACAGGAAAAAAATAACTGGCATTAATAACAGAACATTTTTTTGACAAAAAAAAAGACTGCTATGTTTGGCTGTGTAAGTTTTAAATTGGAGAATCAGGTACATGTTCATCCACATTGAGGATTTCATGAGATGACTATTTTCCAAACTTGCTCTCTTCAGGTTAACTATCCTTCCTTTGAATTTAGTACATTTAGTAATTTGAATACAAGATCTCAATAGTCATCTATTTCCTACATATTCTTATTTAAAAAGGCTTTTTAAAAATCATTTTGACACACAGATCTTCTCTCCCCAGCTTTTAATATCACATTTGGCTTTAGGGTTCCCTCTTTTATTACAGCACGGCTATCGCTAGAAGTTCCCCCTCAGCTGTAAGCTTCAGTACTGAGCCAAGTGGAACAGAACTGAGATAGCTAGATACACATGGTCCTTTTAGCATACATAACCTATTAATATCCATTCACTGCTTATATATCCCCTTTCTTTTTCCATTCATGCAGCTTTACAAATGCACCTTCCAGCAGTGGAAGCAGCTCGTCAGGTGCCCCTCTGACCTCCTATCAGAAGCTCAATATGGATAATGGTAGGCTATTAGGAAGAAAAATAAATAGGCTCTTAAGGAGAAGGGAGGGTGCCTCTTGCTTTCTGTTTGCTTAGACTGGGTTTATTAGCAGCTTGAGATCATTGCGGCCACATTTAAAGGACCAACTTGATGAGGATGTAGTGCAGGGATCTTCAAACTTGGCCCTTTTATGACTTGTGGACTTCAACTCCCAGAATTCCTCAGCCAGTGTGCCTGGCTGAGGAATTCTGGGAGTTGAAGTCCACAAGTCATAAAGGGGCCAAGTTTGAAGACCCCTGATGTAGTGTCTTTATAATGAAAGTCTGTTCTCATATTCCTGTTTCTTGGTTTACAGACATGGGTTTCTCTCACAAAACAAACACATGGGATGGGAAAGCTAGAAAGCAAAGAAAATAAACTGAGAGATGGCTATATCGGTAGAAAATACTTCAGATTTGTGATTATCTTGTGCATAAGGTGCTGGTAGGTTTATGTTTAAGTTTCAGCAAGGCAGCACTTTCCAGGCAGAACTGAACACACACACACACACACACACACACATACACGAATGGCACTGTTTGTCCCTTCAGCATGTGCCCTTTTCTGAACTGTAATGCTTTTTTTTTTCTTTCCTTGTTCTTCCACTGGACGGCTGCACAGGAAATGCCACAGACATCAATGATAACAGGTGAGAAGCTGTTGCCTAGCCATTGGAACAAACAGTTTTCTTATTTCTTCAGAGTGGTTAGTTCCAGGGATAAGTCATTTAATTTTTTGTATACAAAGTAGAGGGAAAGCATTTAGCAGGGAGGGAAGGTTTGAGTTACTCTGTGTTCCCTTTTCCTCTGCTGTAGAAGTGACCTGCCTTGTGGTGTTGAAGCTGATGAGCAAGCCAAGCTCTTTCCCTTTCACCAGGAGACTGCAGCCAGCTAATAGCTAATATCACCACCTGCCCAGAGCATCTAAACACAACCGTTAGGTACAGTCCATCATATGTACTCTATTTCACCAACTTTTTATTGCATCTCTTAGTATTCCCTCTTCCCAGGACTCCATTAGACTTGCCCTTCAGCTTCCTCCAACTGGGTAAATATTTTTCGCACAAGATTTGCTAGATACCTTTTAATTAAAACAAAATAAACTCTGTCCTGCACAAGAGGTATAGGGTGGGTCTTCCCCCCCCCTTGCTCCTTCACTACAGAAATCCTATTTTTGAATTTCCAGGAATAAGTACTCTGGCTGGCTGTCACCAAATCCGTGGACTTGGTGATTTAACAACACTAATTTTATCTCTGTTAAAAGCTACTGGTGAATTGCAGAACTAAATGTAGAAAGCTTCCTCCTTAGTATATAGCTGGAGAGGAGCTTGTATACTAATATCATTTCTATTGACTTTTCCCTCTTCCCTCTTTTCCTCATCTTGTAGTTTCTAAATGGGATGGAAGCCTCAATCCTGCATGCTGCAGCCGGCTTTCCTTGACTTCTGCTACAATTGGCCCTGTCCTTGTGTCCTGCTCTCTCCGTGTCCTGTATATTTATCAGCTGCTGCTTCACTCTCACTGTTTCTCTGTCTTACTTAACTAGAGAATAATGTATTCCCTTATCTCTTTGGATCCCTGCTCCCTACTTCAGGAGGACTTGTGCCTCTCCTTTCCTGCCTCAGTTGCCTTAAGGGATGGGCTGCTAGGGAAGAACCTAGATGTAGAAGCACCCCTAATGTGCAAACAATTCTTACCGAAGAGAAAGGGCATAAGGTATTTCCCACGTGACATAATGACCCTTGACCTGCAGTAGAACACCACTAACCCCAATATCTTTAGGTCTTACTGTAAGAATAGAAGTTGAATACCTCCAAGTAGGTAGGCTAGAACTGTTAGTGTATGTGTTTGCTGACTTTCAGATAAGGCCTAGAGCTTTAGTATCTAGTTCTTATCCTTTGGGGTAATCCTCAAAGAATATAAAATATTGGCAGCTAGCTTCACCTTTAGGAGTTTCCCATGATGCTTGAGCCTCAGCCTTTATGGACTTAAATTTCCCATTTTTCTTAGGTCGTCATGGCACTTCAGAAATGGCCTGGAAAGTCTTCTACAGAAAGGAGATCCTGCTAGTCATTTCCGTCAGTTGATACAATGTTAGGAATGCTGCCTATCCTGAGCAGTTATTGTTTCCTCAGTGGGAACAGAAGGTTCCAATGGGTGAGGAGGATCTTATCCGTGGAGACCATAACTCCTCTATGAGCCAGCAACATGGCCTCAGGAATATAAGTTGGCCCCATTTCATTCTGTAAACAGGAAACTGGATAGTAGTTTTGCTTTTGCAGGGCAGACCTGTTGGATTTGACAGGTAATTCTCTAGCAAGTCCTAACCACCATAACCACTGCATATCTGGGGCACAGGCTGGGGGCTAATGATTCTGTAAATGAAACAAAAATTAGGCTGCTATCAACATATTTTCAGTTGTTCCCTTTTATTATCTCTTGATAGCTGGCTCAGGGGCCTTTCATTTGTGCTCCCATGTGTATATTTTGAGGGAACAGTGAGTCCACTGCACATCTTTAACTTAATGTCACCACTTCTGAGTCAATAGGGCAAACAGGGTTGGGGGGGGGGCAGGGAAAGTGGCTTTTACAAAGGATTGCAAGCCTCTTTCCTGTCGAACTATTAAACAGCAATAACCCTGTTTAACTGTCTTCTTGATGGTTGTTGACATCCCGTCATTTTATCCGTCTGCTCAGATCACATCAAATGTTGCATGTCAAGCTATTCAAAAGTTTATTTAAAAAAAAAAATAAACGAAGAGTTAAAAAAAATAACAGGTTTGTGTACTCTGTTACTGTGTCTATATAGTAAAGATTCCCTTAGGTCAGCTGTTCTCAACCTGTGGGTCGTGACCCCTTTGGGGGTCGAACGACCCTTTCACAGGGGTCGCCTAAGACCATCGGAAAACACATATTTCTGATAGTCTTAGGAACAGAGACACTGCCAAAGCTGCCGCCGCTGCCGCCTCAGGAACACACAATGAACGAACCAAGAAAAGGAACTGAATGAGGAGAGGGGGCGTGCCCCCGTGTGTTTGTGTGTGCGTTTGTGTACAGTCGCTACTTTCAACTCCCAATATTACGAAGAAAAAAAAAGATTGACGTGAATAAAATGTGGTGGAAGACAAGCGCTCTCTGTGTGTGTGTGTGTGTGTGTTTGTATGTCTGTGTGCGCGCGGTGTCAATCATATTCTTTCCCTCGTCACGCACCTTGAGCCACGACGCCAATAAGCGTCTGCTCTCAGTTCGTGACAAGCGGGGCTTTTCTCTCTTTTTCCATCCCTGCTTCGAGCGAAACGTTGAAAACCATACGACACTGAGAGGTGCGTGTCCCGCTGGCAAGGCTCAGGGGAAGCGCCAAGATCAGCGCCCCTTTCCGCCTGATCGGTGCTTCTCCGAGGCCGGGAGAGCTTGGCCCCTTTCCACCTGATCGGTGCTTCTCCAAGGCCAGGAGAGCTCAGGGGAAGCGCCAGGATCAGCGCCCCTTTCTGCCTGATTGGCGCTTCTCCGAGGCCGGGAGAGCTCGGCCCCTTTCCGCCTAATTGGCACTCCTCCGAGGCCGGGAGAGCTCAGGGGAAGCGCCAGGATCCGCTCCCCTTTCCGCCTGATTGGCGCTTCTTCCGGAGCTGATCCTGGTGCTTCTCCTGAGCCCCGAAGCACCAATCTCCTGGAAAGTGGCATTGATCCCGGTGCATCTGCTGAGCCCTGAAGAAGCGCTTATCACCTGGAAAGCAACATTGATCTGGGCCAGCGCACTCACACACACACAAACACGTGCGAGCAATTACAGCTGAAGGATATTATACAGCTGGTATAATATATCACAGTGGTGGCGAACCTATGGCACGGGTGCCAGAGGCGGCACTCAGAGCCCTCTCTGTGGGCACACGTGCCGTGGCCCCAGTCCTAGGCCTTCAGCTGGCTTTTATGAAACCTTTTCGCTTTAGGCCTCCGCCGCTGTGTGCAAAAAAAAAAAAAGGTTCAATCAGTCAATTTCAACTTCTCGCAGGAAAAAAAAGATCTTGCAAAGTTGAAATTGATTGATTGAACTTTTTAGTCCCACCCAGTCTGCTGTTACCACTGCGGCCGCGGCCACCCAATTGGCCACACCCACCCAATGGGCCACACCCATCCGGCACTCGATGATGCATAAGTGGGTTTTGGGTTGCAGTTTGGGCACTGGGTCTCTAAAAGGTTCGCCATCACTGATATATAATAAAGGTACAAAGAGGGGCAATCAAAATCATTAAGGCTTTCCACAAGGGATGGTTATGATATTTAGCATTTTTTATATTAGAACAAAACTATTTTATCACGTATGTATATATATATATCTTAGGTCTTTGGTTGTTCAGGTTTTCTCCCGCGTAAAATTGGAAGTGTCTTGGCGACGTTTCGACGAAGTCCCATTCGTCATCTTCAGGCTGGTGTTTTCAGCCTGAAGATGACGAATGGGAGTTCGTCGAAACGTCGCCAAGACACTTCCAATTTTACGCGGGAGAAAACCCGAACAACCAAAGACCTACATACAAATACCCGCGAAAACCTCAGAAAACATATATATCTTATAAAATATAGGATATATTTTAGATATATCCTACATATAAAAGCTCATAGTAGCTTACATAGGGCTCTTCTCATTTTATATCCATAAAAATAATGAAATAGGTTGATCTATGACAGAGTGACAGGCCAAAAATCACTCAGTAGTCAAATGAACTCCTTGGTCAAATAAGGACTTAAATACCTGTTGTCTCAGTACTAGTCTAACATCTTAACCATGCTACATTGCCTTCTATCAGTGAATAAGAAGGGGTATAAGACATGTATTTAAAAATGGATAGGACAATGTATTTCTCTCTCTCATAATATTACTATAACATTATATTACATAATACAATACTACTACTCAGTCTCATTAAATTAAGTTGAATAGTGGGAGATTTGAGGCAGATACAAGGAATTATCTCTTTACATCAGACATGTCAAACACAAGGCCCGGGGGCCGGATGCGGCCCACGAAGTGGTTTCATGTGGCCCACAAAACCATCCTTGAAACAGTGAGGGAACAGCCCCTGCTGCCTTGGCCCTGGCCCAGGCCGGCCAGGGGCCAATGTACAATTTTGTGGTGGCCATCTATGCGGAAACGCATTCAGTCTTAGCTTCACAAGGCCGTCTAGAAACAGCGAGGAACCAGCCCTGCCGTGTCGGCCCTGCCCCCCTGGGTGCATGCTGGGGAAGTGTCACCCTTTGTGAGGAATGAAGAAATGGACCATGCCTTGGCCCTTGCCCCGGTCCCACCCCCTTCTGCCAGAGACCCACTCCTCCCCTGTAGAACTGGCCATGCCCACCTAGTAGGCCACATCCACTCCATCCACGCCCACCCAGTAGGCCGCACCCACCCTGACCACACCTACCCGCCCCCCCCCGAGGGCAACCGCAATGCTGATGCGGCCCTCAATGAAATTGAGTTTGACACCCCTGCTGTACAGCCAAAGTCTCCAACCTTTTTAATTTGGTGGCCCACAAAGGGAGGCAGGCACTGCTACGTGTGCACATACAAATGGGCCACACCTGTGTGCATGCAAAAATGAGCCTTATGCGTGCATGCACAAATGGGCCATGTGTGAGCGCATGCGCACCTGTAAACGGGGCTGCTGAGTTAGATCATTGGACAGATCCACACAACTTTTCTTATGTTCTTGTAACAAGAATAAAACTTTAGATATTGGGGCTGAGAATAATGGTACTATGATAATGGCATGGTAAACATCAGTATTAATAATAAGAAAAACAATAATCCTGTGCAATCTTTCTTTCTCCCTTTTGGTGCAATTGTATGAGAAAGTTGTGCTGGAAGGCAATTCCAGGAACAAACGGTCTAAAGCACGGGTGTCAAACTTACATGATGTGTCACGACGTATTGCGACTTTTTTTCCATTGCCAGCTATGGGATGGGTGCAGTTTCAGCATGATGCATCTGGCCTGCGGGCTGGCAGTTTGACACCCCTGGTCTAAAGGTTAAATGTCTAAACCTTACTGAATCCTGTTGTGATCACAATTGCTAAAAAATACAGTGCTTTCTTGCCGTATTGAAGTAGATTTACATTCTACCTTTCTAGTCAATGTAAGGATGGAAAGCTGCTAACCATCAATGACATGAAAGGGTATAAAAAAAATATTCAAAAACATAAAACAATTCATATGTTAAAGTCCAAATATAGTACCTGGAGGATAGATATCTGCTGGTGAGTAAATGATAAAATGTAGATTATGATTTCATCCAATATGTGCTGGTGTCATGACAACCCCTCCCTCCCATATTGGCACTACAGAGACAATCTTGCGTCATAATATCAGAACAGAGGCACCATCACATTAGCTTTGTGATATCAGAAACAGATTATTGTGTCCAGAACCAACATTGAAGCTTTTCTCACGTATGCCAGATAGACAAGCCTCTGAAAACTACAGTGGGGAAAAGTCTATGAAATATTTAGAATACTCTATAATCCTGCAGTACTGTGACCCACAATGTGATTAGAGCTTCAATTAAACCTCGTTAATAGATAAAAGATGTTGGTTATAAAAACAATACAGAAAAGGGTATACTGCCATGCCTTTATTACACGTATTGAGCCAACATTTACTGTCTTTGAAAAAAAGCTGGATTTAGCATGTGTCAGTGCCTCTAGCTCAGGGGTGTCAAACTCGCAATGTCATGTGACATGTTGCGACGTATTGTGACTTTTTTGCGTGGTTTCGCTATGATGCTCCTGCCTGCAGACCAGCATTTTGACACCCTTGCTCTCTAGCCCTACCTTCCTCTTGCAGCTCAACAAGAAAGATGGGAATAATTGCAAAACATTCCTATAAACTGCAAATTATCAACAAAAACCACAGCTTATATTTGAAAACTCCCAAGAGTTCAAGAAAATCAAAGAGGCTTGATAAAAATGAAGAAAAGAATTTTTACTGAAGAAGAGAATACACTATGAGCTCACAGATGTTAGAACTTTCTTTGAAGAGTTTAAAGACTGCAGAAAGAAGAAAGAATACAATATTTGACCAAAATTAAAGTAATGGGTTGCTATTTGGGGGTGATATTTAATGGTTTCTAGATTAGAAATGGAGGATATTTCTGGTAATCTTTTTTTTTATTATTGAAAATTTTTATAAACTTTTTACAATAAAATACCCCCCCTCCCACCCCATAACCCTCCCCCCTCCTTCCCAGAGCTGAATACAGGGTTAAAGAAACAAACAAAAAAAAAACATACAAATTGATATTTCTGGTAATCTTTGTTTTTTGAGTGGGACTAAATATTATTTGAAGAAAGGAAGATTCAGATTGGATGTAATAAATACAATTTGTAATACTTTTAATTTTTGATAACCCTAACTGGACCTTTAATAGGGAAAGTTGAAGTTTTAGACATGGGCTTACAGAAACTGGGGTGAGATATGGAATGAAAAGATATTTGGTTTCATTTTAAGAGATAGCAATAAGTTCTTAATGTTGATTATACTCTACTGCTAAGGATGAAGGGGGAGGTTTCTTTTTGTTTTTCCTTTTTCATCACTTTTTAATTTTTAAATCTTTAATGTATTTCCTTATTCTATAGTTCTGTAAGTTTTAACTTGTATAATTTTTAATAAAATTATTGGGGAGAAAAGAACAAGCAGGGCTGTTCTCTAACCCAGTGTTTAATTTTTTTAAAACTTCTTTCCCTTAGGTCTCCTTTCCACTACTAAAAATTGAGGAACATCCCCCCCCCTCGGAAAAAAACCTTTTTGTTTGTATGGGGTTTGTTTGTATGGGTCTATATTTACGGTATTAAAAAGGTCAACTGAAATGGGTTCAGATAATTAGTTTGAGGCAGATGGGTCTCAATCACCTTTCCCAGATTGGTTTTGAGTCTGCCCTATTTATAGCTTAGGTTTTAACAGATGCTACAGCTGGAACATTCGCTAACAGATTATACAGAAATACTGTACATAAAGAGATGTCTATTTGGTTCTGCCCACTGTCTTTTTGAGTTCCCAGGTGAACAAATTTAGAACAGCTCAAACTTTGTAAGGTTAGTAGTCCAGTAACATGTCTGTATATTTTTACTGAACTATATTTATTCTAATTATCAATAGGCCAGTTTGGTGTAATGGTTAAGGCATCAGGGTAGAAACTAGTTCTAGTCCCACCTGAGGCACAAAACCACCGTATGACCTTGGGCCAATCCCTCTCTCTCTCAGCCCTGAAACAGGCAAGGCAAACCATTTCCGAAAAACCTTGCCAAGGAAACAGCAGGGACTAACCGAGTCAAAAACCGACTCGGAGGCTATATATGTATATATTCTGTTACTTAGAATTTATGGCATAGTGACTCCGACCATCTCCGAAAACACTTTTTTAACGAAGGGCTCGATGAACTAACACTCCTGCCTAGTGTAGCGACCACCTCCTCTGTTCGGCTACATTTTTAAATGCTGCCCTGAACCCTTTTTTCCTTTCCAACTCTTCCTCTAGATCAGAGGCGAGAAAGTATGGCTCTTTTATGACTGTGGACTTCAACTCCCAGAATTCCACGCTCAGGTCATAAAAGGGCCAGACTTCCCCCCCCATCTCTGCTCTAGTTTCATTCATTGTGTACCTGCAAGCGCCATGTTAGCTTTCTTCCCATAAGAGGTAAAGTACAAAAAAAAAAAAGCGCGTAATCCTATAGAGAGCGTCACAAAGTAGGCAATCACCTTTTTGCTAACGCCTTCCTCCCTCCCAGGCCTAACACACACACCCCCAAACGGACGCCACAAAGCGTCCAAGGAGCCGGCGCCCTCTCCTCTGTGACGCAGCTGCCCCGCCCCTCCCCTTCGGGTCACGTGTGGCGGGATCAGCTGAGCGTTTACTTCCGTTTGCCGGCGTCGGGGTTGCTGTGAGTGCGAGCGGCCGGGCGCGTGGGGTAGGCGCCGCTCGGAGCGGAGTCTCAAGGAGGATGGCCGCCTCGGTGGGTCCAGGGACGCGCACGAAGACCAAGAAGAAGCACTTCGTCCCGCAGCGCGTGAAGGTGCTGCGCTCGGCCGACCCTCTTCTGGGCGTGCTGGCTTGGGGGATCAACCATCAGGTAGTCGGCTTCGCCGAATGTTTCTCGGGCGGGGGAGAATACAGAGCAAGCCCACCTCTTTTGCTGGGTTGCCTCCCTCCAGCATCTGTGCCTGGATAGAAGGAAGGCTGGATGGGGGGGGGGGTCCGACGTGTCAAGCCTCGATTGGATTTCTCTTTCGCTTTCCGGGTTGCGGGATCTGTACCCATCGGGGCACCTTTTGGGGGGGGGGTCGTCATCCCGCCCTCTTGATTCTTTGACTCCTAACAGTTTCGGAGGGCTGCTCGGCAGTGGTTAGTTTCAGAAAGAGCAGATGGAGGGGAATGAAGGCAAATCTATCTGTCCCAGGGTGCGAGATCGAATTTGGGTCGGTCACCGGGGACCCGGAGATTTATTAGATCTCAAGCTAGAGAGGAGACCACCAGCCAATTCCAGGGCTGAAAGTTAGACTGAGAGGTCTAAAAACCTCCCAGAAGAAGGCACAAACTGCTTCAGTAATGAGATGCCATGAACTCATCATGTGTTAAGTTTGACTTGAGGGAGACCGTAATTTTGTGTGTATCTTTTCTCCTTTTTCTCTATGGAGATTCTCAGTCATCCAAAGGTGAAAAAGCACCTTTCAGGTTTCTTTTTTTTTTCCTGTGCTCCTGCTCCCCACATCTGGTGTTAGCTATTGTTACTATGAGTGTTTTTGAATAGCTTTCCCTACTGTGATGCCCTCCGACTGTATTGTTTTATGACAGGACTAAATATATATATGGGGTTATCTCTGTTGGCATCACTTTGGGGAAGGCTGCAGTAGGGTTATGTTTTGTCTTATTCTGTCTTATGCTCATTAACATACTTGCATAATTTTCCTCTGTTCTTGCTGCAAACTTTTATATGCATGGTAGGAAAAGTATATTTGTATAAGTATAATAAAATTGAAACATGTAATATATTTTGCACAGATATTTTAACTTACTTTGCTTCAGAATCTAGTGAGAAAAAAATTGTCTACCTGTTAGTAAGTTGACTAATGCCATAGTGCTTAATCATAGTCCTGATTCATATGGGAGGAGATTGTTCGTATCTGTTGAAAAGGAGAAATTGAATAGTTCTGAGTAGGGGCTCTTATCATTTTTTCATACATATCTGGATTCATATGATATCTAGATTCATATGATTTTCCTATCATAAATTCCCTAAAGAATTATCTGCCGGATAAAGAAATAGTACAATATAAGTCAATAGGTTCATTTCTCATAAGCCAGTTTAATCTGCACATTCCATCCTCAGTGTAATACATGAGTAATGACAGAATCTAATTTACCATTAATAGAAATTATGAAGTCAAAAGCAGAGCAAGAAACAATCACAAACATGACCTTGAAATCATATACTGTATGAGATTCTGATGTATGTGAGAGCTATAGACACCCCTTGTGGTTACTGCACAAAATGCTGCTTACAATTTTTTACAATGAGGGCTAGAAACATGGGTGAAGCAGTCAGAAACTGATGAAATAAGGAGCAGTTATCCAAATCCAAGGTTATGTCTTCTAAGCTAGAAAAGATTTAAGTTACCAGCATCAAATTCCTGGGTGTGCAGCTAACGAATAGGCTGACTTGGTCGCTCAACAGTGACAAACTGGCGAAGTGGGCACAGCAGCGCCTGCATTTTCTGCATCGCATGAGAAAAGCACATCTTCCTTCCCCTGTCCTGACCACTTTCTACAGGGGGACAATCGGGAACATCCTGTCAATACAGCCTCACAGTCTGGTTTGGAACCATCACTGCTTCAGACAGGAAGGCAGTGCAAAGAGTGGTGAGAATGGCCGAAAAGATCATTGGCAGTTCCCTCCCTCCCATCCAGGAAGCGTTGCTTGAGCAGGGTCCGTAGGATTATCTGGGACACTACACATCCTCTTCATGACCTGTTTTCCTTGTTACCTTCTGAGAGGAGGCTTCGTGGTATCCGTAGCAGAACATCCAGATTCAGCCATAGTTTCATTCCATACAGCATTCACCTTGTGAACTCTCAAGCTTCCTCCTTCCGTTATATATATTCAAGATGGACAGTATTTAATATTTATTTGCTACATATATGTAGGGGTGTGGGTCTATACATATGTTGTTCATAGTATGTTTAGGTGTGTGTCATGTATGTGTTTCACTTTCAGAGCGGACAACTAAATTTCATTTTTGATGTGTGCCGTTGTGCCCACAGTAAAAAAATGACAATAAAGGTTATCTGTACATTTAGATGGTGCTGCTGAATGCAGAATTGCTGTGCCATTTTCTCATTACCTCTTCCATCTCTTTGACAGAATCTGACACCAGGGAATCACCCCAGAAGACCATCGCCCCAGATTTTTTAAAGATATTAATTGTAATATTTCTGGATTTGATCAATGCTTTAATATATTCTAGAATATTTAGAGTTGTTTGAGCAGGCAGCAGAAAATAACATTGAAATCCCAAGGTTATTTACTGGTTATTTATGTAATAAATTTATGCAATAAATAACCTTACACATTTTGAAGTCTGGCCTCATTCAAACTCTGAAAAGAAGGCAGCTTTTCATGGATGGGTTGGAAATGGGAAGGGAATCTGTGGCATCTGATAGCAGAACATATATTTCTGCCTACCAATGATTGCACTTTTTGTTTGTGCAGGCCTCAGAGAGGCAGAGCTTTATTTCATTGTCTGCCCTTTCTAAGCTTCATTAATCCCTTCCCCTCTGATTCCAGCAGTTTTATGACTCCAAGCATATGAGCTTCATGATGCAACACTAGCATAATACAGATTCCAGAATTAAGGAGGTAGCTGGTACGTGAGCCTTACTGCATGCTTTTCTGGGTTGCAAGCTGTTTTTGGTGCTGTAGGCTAAGTCTCTTGATAGACAAAAAGCCATTTGCTTCCTTCCATTTTGCTCTTTGGTGCTTGCAGAGTTGGACTGCTGAGTTTGAGTTTTGCCTAAAAATATGCATGGTTTCTTTTACCGCTAAAGAAACTGGATGAAATGCATTTGCAAAAAATCTGATTTTGTCTTGGCTTCTTTCCCAAAACTGGCTGAAAATATTCCGATAACTTTTAGTTGGTATGTTTCTAGATCAGTATAAATAACTTTTTAATTCTCTGTGCTCTTTTTTCCTCTATACCCAATGCGGCTGTTTTTCCTTAGATCAGGGGTGTCAAGCTGCCGGGCCCATGGGCCAGATGCATCACGTGATGTTGCGAGTTTGACACCCCTGCCTTAGTTGGTTTCCATTTAGGATTTGCTTCTTTACAGAAGTAATGCTGGTTGCTTTACAAAACTGAACTTTGTTTTGTATTGAGAACACTATAAAACAGTATGTTTTAAAATGCAGAGTGGTACAAAATCCTTATTCATTCTCTGACTCATAGCAATCATACAAAGGAGATGGTAATTTTTTCCCATTATGGAAAGGAAACTAGAATAGACTTCATCCTGATATCACCTTAGCTCCAATGCAATGAGCTGTTCTTTCCAGCAGGTGAGTTCAGAGTTCTAAGAAGGGAGAGGTTCTTGCAGCATGCAGAGCTGAAAATATTTCCCCTAATGAAGAAAGCTGTGATGGGAAATAAATGGATGCTTTGCTCCACAAAAGCTTCTTCTCTCTATGCTTTCTTCCTTGGCTGGATCGCATAGGAAAGATTCTTGAATGTCATATTGTGGAAACTGACTTATATGTCCTGATTCTGTATGAGTTATTTGCAAGCATTTGTAATAGATGGCTTTGCAGTGTGTGTGACATTTTCTCTTTAGGGGATGTTTTTTTAACAAGAGCAGAATAGCTGAATGTATGTCATAACCATCTGAGAAATGCAACTTGAAAATGTGATATTGTCTTAAAACCTTGAAATCTGTTGAGAGTAATACCAGTGTTTCTAGATAATGATAAACTAGCTCTAGCTCATCAAATAACATTTCATTACAGATACCAACTAAGCTGTTAGAATAACTGGGCAAGTACCAAGATTAGGTAGCATTAAACAGATTAAAGTTCCCTTGAAGTAGAAGCCAAGAGCTGACAGGTAAGAGATTCCTGGGTCTTATTCGCTTTGCACATCAGCTTTGCCAACCAATTTGTTCCTTCATCAATGTCTCATTACCATAGACCAGATATCTATGAATCTATAGCACTTTGCTCTTCTAGGCCTCTGATAGAACTGGAAATAAGCCATATTAGTTTCTAGCTACATGTAGTCCTTGACTTACAACCACATGTTTAGCAGCTGTTCAAAGTTACAAATGGCACTGAAAAAAGAGACATGAGTGTTCCTCATACTAACAACCTTTGCAGTATCCCCATGGTCACATGATCAAAATTCAAGCACTTGGCAATTGGTGTGTGTGTACAATGATTGCAGCATTCTGGGATCATGTGATCACCATTTACAACCTTCCCGGCTGGCTTCCAACAAAGTCAATGGGGGAGGTTGGATTCACTTAATGATTGTGTAATTCAGTTAACTACAATGATTTGTTTAACAACTATAACAAAAAAAGTAAAATTGGCTGGGATTCACTTATTCGTTTTGCTTTGCATCAGAAATTATGGTCATAATTCAAGAATTACATCTACCAATTGTCAAGGTTCTTCTGATCGATAAGATCAAATAAATCAGAACTCCGAGGCAGGAAAGTTCCTCAAAGAACATGTTTATTGGATACATAATATCGGCATGTTCAAAAGTGAAACCAGATCTAAACTTTCCCTCCAAGAATCAAAGTAATATAATGTAACAATACACTTTGGCAGGCTTTCTGACTTAGCTTTCCTCCGGCATGGGAATGACCTTGGTTCCCACAAGAATTGCTCATGTTTAGAATACCAGAAATATCATCTTCCCCCCTCCCCCTTCTTGTGGCAACCTAGAACGAAAAAACCGGCTGCTGCCAGATTTGTTAGTACAGTTGACACCAATTTCTTCTTGGAGACCAAGGTTGGTACTTTGGCAACCTCTCTTTCCTTGGCCAGGCATATAAAGTCTCTCTGGTGTAGCTGAATTGAAGTAGTCAATCTGAGACCCTTTGCTCAGAAGATAGTGGGTATGATGGGCAGACTTTGAATATATAAGCCCTCACAGCACCCCATGGTGAACTGCTCCAATTTGAGGGAAAAGCTGCTAATAAAGATGGAATAGAAGTAAATAAATAAAATGTTCAGTGATGCCGTTTTCTGTCCTGCTCTTGGCAAAGATATTGGCTAAAGGTGCAAAATAGCTATGGAAAGCCTCCAAAAGATGTATCATATTATTTTGCAGTTTTAAAAATGATCCAGTCCCTTATGTTTTTTTTTAAGCTCCAAATTATCATGTCTTTACTGTAATGACAACAACAACTTACCAGGCATGCTTGCTCTAGCCCTTAGAAAATGTTGGTATTATTATTTTGAAAAGTACAACTTTTTTGGTGAGCCAATTTAGTCTCATGGTTAAGGCACCAGGCTAGAAACTGGGAGACCAGGAGTTGAAGTCCACCCTTAGCTATGAAAACCAGCTAGGTGATCTTGGGCCAGTCACTCTCTCTCAGCCCAACTCATCTCACAGGGTTCTTGTTGTGAGGAAAATACGAGGAAGGAATCTTAAATATGTTTGCCACGTTGATTTTGTGTGTAAAAATAATACAGGTGGGATATAAATTAAGTAAATGAATAAAACTTTAGAGCAAAGAAGTTGTCTGCTTGGTTTGGGATGATAGCTTTACCTTGCAGTTAGGTAATTAAGTTAGAGACTAAGAGGTGCTTGCTGGTAACTGTCCTATGATGAAAGGTTTCTAATTGGAGTACCAGCTGAACTAAGTGAAAATACTTCTTCATTCAAATCTACCATTAATCATTTTATCTCAAGCATACTGCATTTTGCAGATTTTTACCCAAAAGGAATTGCTGCAGATGCTCCATCCCTGCAACGTGGTAATCAGTATTGATCTTTCCAAACCATTTGTGAAATGTAAAAATGGCTAATCCCAGTTGGTTAACTTGACACAAACTGAAGTATTCTGTTGTCAGAGAACAGCCGGAAGGCATGGCACACAGTCGGATTATTTGAAGCCAGATAGGGTCGTCTCTTTATACCACTGGCTTAGGAAGGCTGAAGTACAGAGGAGAACAAATGTGATTACAGTAAATGTCTAGTGCAAGAATATAATGTAGAATCCACCTATATGCTGCTATGATGTCTTTGGAGGCAGAGGTTCAGTGCTTTAATACGTAATAGTGCCATGTGTGCAAGGCATTGCCTAGTAAGTAGCTTGATTAAAAACAATATGTAACACAGTCCTAAATGGATCTGATGTAGATATCATCAAGCTTGAATTAATTGCTTCTAATTTGTTTTGGAATGTTCAATTCCTGCTATGATTTTAAACTATAAAGTCATAAATAAGTCATCTGTGGCCATAACAGAACCTCACATAAGTACAATTCAGGCATTATTTAATATTTCTGGGGTTATTTTGTCTTTTTTTTGTGATGGCAATCTTTTATAAGTGCATGCTATTTTGAAAGCTTTTCATAAGTGGAGAGGTTACTAATGAATGTTTATGATATAGCTGTGCTTAAAGGCAGAATTGCATTGTCTTGTAGTTCTGTAGGGCCAGAGAGAAAAATCCTGAAAATATACATCCTTATTTGGAGTTCAGCTCTCTAAAAAAAAAAATTTAAACTATCCTCCTAGCCTCTATGATTGTTCAAAGATATCCTTCAGCCTATCAGAATATTCCATTGTTTTATTATTTTGCTGCTTAATTGTACACTAAATAATCTGGGGTTTTTTGCACTTTGGATTGTCTTTGTGCAAAACTTCTGTTTTAATGCCAGACCCTTCTAATTAGGCAGAGTGACAGATCAATACAATATTAATTTTCTAAAATATATGTCAATTGAGAATAGGATGCAAAATTTAGGGTACTGTACTATATGAGAAAAATGTATCTTTCATATGTGTGTGTGTGTGTATGTAATGTATGCATGCATGCATGTATGCATATATGTATGTATGTATGTATATTCACCAACTACAGCCCAGTAGATGTCAAGGATCCTACTTGTACATTTTATGAGAGAAATGTGATAATAAGCAGCTTTCACTCTCCCCCTCCCTTAAACAGAAATGCTGTATAATTCAGTATAGCTCACTATAGCTGTTATAGTGTTATTGTAAGGCTGGTTTAAACTGGCTCTGCTGCTTGAGTGGCTGCCCAAAGGGAATAGAAATGGAAAATATGAAGAGTGGAGCCACATAGCTATAATTCTCTGTGGCCCATTCTTCTCTGATCCATATTTTCCTAGCAGAAATTACAAAGCATGTTTTGTGCCTCTCAATGTGGTCATGCTGATTTGAGGTTTATATGCCCATCCCTGTTTGCAATTGGACTTTTGGTGCATTTTCCCTATTTTCCTGGCATTATCTCTATGAGAGATACATTTTCTCTGCCATAGCAAAATTCCCCATTGGTCCTGGTCCTTTTTTCTCACAATCATGTTTCAATAGGGATTAACACAAAGCTGTTACATAAGTTGAAAAACTCTTGTCTGGCTGAAAATGATGTGACAGGCTGCTTTCAGCCGCAGGTCAAAAGATCATTGATGATCTTGGTCACAGGCTGCTTCAGATGCCTGTTTGAAGTTGTCCGAATCTAGTATGGAAACAGTCGAGTCTTGGAGATTCTGTGGCTTCCTGTCCGGCGGAATTACTGAGGGACTTTTCTCTCAAGCCCTTGACCAAACTACCACTAGCAGAATTGTCTCAATGAAACTGAATCCGGTAGTGGGGTGTTGGGTGTGACCTTGTCTGGTTTTACCTTCATTTTTTCATGTTAGATCAATGAACTCAATCAAGTTCCCCAGCCAGTGATGCTGCTCCCTGATGACTTCAAAGCCAGTTCTAAAGTAAAGGTGAACAATCATCTCTTCAACAGGTGAGGAAAGTGCTGGAGATATAGAGAGTAAAGCACATGGCCTTCCTAATCCAAATTACATCCCAATGCAGTTCCACTGCAGTGTTTCAGGCAAAACTTTATTCAAGTTCTTTCAAATGAGGTCTAGTAATTAGAATGTGGAGATTAAGCTTAACATTGTGAGTTTTGCACAGTATATTTATTTATATGCTTCCTACATGGAATGTTCTAAGGCGTGTGGCCTAATATTGTCTACCTACACCACCTTGTGGGAAGGATTAATAGCCCTAATTACTCCCAAATAGTATAGCTTCAGGTACAAACATCCCTCAAAAACAGTTTTGCTGGTTGAGATGAAAGATTCTCCTAGTGCGGCCATTTTTCTCTAGTGCTGACCAATGCCGTGCTATTTGAAGAGGCTGGAAGTTGTAATCTGACACATTTGGCAGATATGATATGCTCTTCTAATTGATCTTAGTGTGTATATCTCTTTGTCCTTTATAAAGAGATTACATTATTATTTATTAAACAACTTTATATAGCTACCCAACTTATACATAGGAGATTCCGGGTGGCTTACAATTGATTAATATTGATTAAGCCTTATCAATATTAATCAATTGTAAGCCACCCCAAATCATCTATTTACAATAACTATATATATATAGTTCTTCGATTTTTAGCTATATATATATATATATATATATATATATATATATATATATATATATATATATATATATTTTCTGAGGTTTTCGCGGGTATTTGTATATAGGTCTTTGGTTGTTCGGGTTTTCTCCCGCGTAAAATTGGAAGTGTCTTGGCGACGTTTCGACGAAGTCCCATTCGTCATCTTCAGGCTGGTGTTTTCAGCTTCGTGCTTTGAGCAGCAATGTGTGGTCTTAGCTGTTTCTTCCTTTTAACTGCCAGTGGGGGTATGAACTGATTGGGTGGGAGCTTGGCTGTGTTCTGATTGGGTGGAGGTGTGTTCTGAATGGTTAGGGGCTTGGCTGTGCTCTGATTGGCTGGGGGAGTGTTCTGTTTGGTTGTGCTCAGGTTAGTCTGAGTTGCAGAGGGGTTTAAGATTTTGGGGTTAGGGAGTCGTTTGTCAATAAGGGCGGGTTTCCAAATGGCTGGTAGGCGGGAGGTATCATCTCGCTTGTTCATGCTGTGTGGGCGTTTTTCTATCTCGATGGCTTCTCTGATTATTCTGTTATTAAAATGTTCACTTTTGGCAATGGTTCTGGTATTTTTAAAGTCAATTTCATGTCCTGTGGCTTTAAGGTGTTGGACCAGGGAAGATGTTGGTTCCTCTTTTTTGACTGAGTTCTTATGTTCTTCAATGCGTGCACTTATTCTTCTGTTGGTTTGTCCGATGTATGTGGTGGGACAAGTGGTGCATGGGATTTCGTATACTCCTTGATTTTCTAATTCAATTTTATCTTTGGGGTTTCTAAGGATGGTGGATATTTTTCTGTTTGTGCAGAATGCTGTTTTGATGTTGTGTTTATGGAGGATCTTACTGATTCTGTCTGTGGTGCCTTTTATGTATGGGAGGAGGGCTTTGCCGTTTTCTTGTTCTTTGTCTTGGATTTTAGTGGGGGTTTCTTTTTGGATTAGGTTTGTAATCTTATTTCTATGGAATCCATTGGATGTTAGTACATTGGTGAGAGTGTGTAGTTCGGGTTTTAGGTGTTGTTCGTCAGCTAAGCGTTTTGTTCTGGAGATGAGTGTCTTGGCTACAGAGTTGATCTGTGCTGGGTGGTGGTGTGAGAGAGCGTGCAGATAGCGGTTTGTGTGTGTTTTCTTCTGGTAGATGGTGTGTCCTAGGGAGCCATTGGATTTCTTGTAGACTAAGACATCCAGGAAGGGAAGTTGGTTGTTAGCTTCTGTTTCCATGGTGAACTGTATTTTGGGGTGTAGGCTGTTGAGGTGTGTGAGGAAGTTGTCCAGTTTTTCTTTCCCATGTGGCCAGATTATGAAGGTGTCGTCTACGTATCTGAGCCAGAGTTTGGGTTTGTGATCCGATTTTTCTAGAGCTTGGGTTTCAAAGTGTTCCATGTAGAGGTTGGCAATGACAGGTGAGAGAGGTGATCCCATGGGTGCTCCTTCTGTTTGTTTGTATTTTTGTCCATTATAGATGAAGTATGTGTTGGATAGGCAGTGGTTGGTCAGATCTAAGATGTGTTTGGGGGGGTTATATTTGTTTTGAATAGCTGTCAAGGCTTCTTTGATAGGCACTTGGGTGAAGAGGGATATGACATCGAAGCTCACTAGTAGGTCGCTGGGCTGTAAGTTTTGTTTCTTTATGATCTCTATAAACTGGAATGAGTTTTTTACGTGTGAGGTGATGGATTCTGCATAGGGCTGTAGTTGTTTGGCGAGAAATTTGGCTAGGTTTTGTAGAGGTGAGCCTATGGAGCTGAGGAACCCCACTCAGACCTATAGTCAGCTCCATAGGCTCACCTCTACAAAACCTAGCCAAATTTCTCGCCAAACAACTACAGCCCTATGCAGAATCCATCACCTCACACGTAAAAAACTCATTCCAGTTTATAGAGATCATAAAGAAACAAAACTTACAGCCCAGCGACCTACTAGTGAGCTTCGATGTCATATCCCTCTTCACCCAAGTGCCTATCAAAGAAGCCTTGACAGCTATTCAAAACAAATATAACCCCCCCAAACACATCTTAGATCTGACCAACCACTGCCTATCCAACACATACTTCATCTATAATGGACAAAAATACAAACAAACAGAAGGAGCACCCATGGGATCACCCCTCTCACCTGTCATTGCCAACCTCTTCATGGAACACTTTGAAACCCAAGCTCTAGAAAAATCGGATCACAAACCCAAACTCTGGCTCAGATATGTAGACGACACCTTCATAATCTGGCCACATGGGAAAGAAAAACTGGACAACTTCCTCACACACCTCAACAGCCTACACCCCAAAATACAGTTCACCATGGAAACAGAAGCTAACAACCAACTTCCCTTCCTGGATGTCTTAGTCTACAAGAAATCCAATGGCTCCCTAGGACACACCATCTACCAGAAGAAAACACACACAAACCGCTATCTGCACGCTCTCTCACACCACCACCCAGCACAGATCAACTCTGTAGCCAAGACACTCATCTCCAGAACAAAACGCTTAGCTGACGAACAACACCTAAAACCCGAACTACACACTCTCACCAATGTACTAACATCCAATGGATTCCATAGAAATAAGATTACAAACCTAATCCAAAAAGAAACCCCCACTAAAATCCAAGACAAAGAACAAGAAAACGGCAAAGCCCTCCTCCCATACATAAAAGGCACCACAGACAGAATCAGTAAGATCCTCCATAAACATAACATCAAAACAGCATTCTGCACAAACAGAAAAATATCCACCATCCTTAGAAACCCCAAAGATAAAATTGAATTAGAAAATCAAGGAGTATACGAAATCCCATGCACCACTTGTCCCACCACATACATCGGACAAACCAACAGAAGAATAAGTGCACGCATTGAAGAACATAAGAACTCAGTCAAAAAAGAGGAACCAACATCTTCCCTGGTCCAACACCTTAAAGCCACAGGACATGAAATTGACTTTAAAAATACCAGAACCATTGCCAAAAGTGAACATTTTAATAACAGAATAATCAGAGAAGCCATCGAGATAGAAAAACGCCCACACAGCATGAACAAGCGAGATGATACCTCCCGCCTACCAGCCATTTGGAAACCCGCCCTTATTGACAAACGACTCCCTAACCCCAAAATCTTAAACCCCTCTGCAACTCAGACTAACCTGAGCACAACCAAACAGAACACTCCCCCAGCCAATCAGAGCACAGCCAAGCCCCTAACCATTCAGAACACACCTCCACCCAATCAGAACACAGCCAAGCTCCCACCCAATCAGTTCATACCCCCACTGGCAGTTAAAAGGAAGAAACAGCTAAAACCACACATTGCTGCTCAAAGCAAGAAGCTAAAAACACCAGCCTGAAGATGACGAATGTGACTTCGTCGAAACGTCGCCAAGACACTTCCAATTTTACGCGGGAGAAAACCCGAACAACCAAAGACCTCTATATATATAAATAACACAGTCTAGCAGAAAGCCTCGCTCAGCTAACTCTTGTTTCTAATCTTAAGGGTTTTCTTTTTCCAACCAGATTATGGTATTAGCTTCTCTACAGTGATTATGATTCTTCTTCACTGAAATCTCCTTCCGCTTATTACTATTCCTTTATGCTGTAATGGAACTTCTTTTATATTTTTTCAAACCTCTACTGCCCTTTAATATGGTTTTACTTGTGACTAGACCGAATAGGGATTTGTTAAAAGAAAAGGGAATTGAAATGACTGAATTCCAGGAAATGTTAATAGTCCATACTCCATTATTTTCTCCTCTTTAGGGGCCAGTTTCTGTTTAAAAAAAATAAAACAATATAAAATACTTTGGTTTTGGGGATTACTAGATAGTGTTATTTATTTCTATTTATTATTTATATTTATTTATATCCCGCCTTTATTAGTTTTCTAACTCAAGGCGGCGAACACACCTACTACTTCCTCCTATTTTCCCTATAACAACCCTGAGGTGAGGTGAGTTGGGTTGAGAGAGAGTGACTGGCACAAGGTCTCCCAGATGGATGGATGGGGAGATATAGTAGGTGTATACAAAATTGCTAGAAAGGGTGGGCTATACATTCCAATAATGCATAATGTAACTGTATGTCTGCATGATTCGTTTTTCAGTGCCTTAACTGCAAAATGTTTGAATTGTGAAGTATTTACATAATTTCTTTTTTCTTGTTTTTCCTTTTTGAGTTCCTGGTGACTGCCTTGACAATTCTTTTCAGTTTTCTTGGCAAGAATTTTGGAAACAGTTTGCTCTTGCCTCCTTCTTAGACCTGAAAGAGAAATGACCTGCCTAAAGTTACTCAGCTGGCTTCATGCCTAAGGCAAGGCAAGAAGTCATTGCCTTCCAGTTTTTAGCCTGGTGCCTTAAATCATTACATCAAACTGGCTCTCCCATAATTTGATTAGGACATGGTTTTTACACTACAGCAGTGTGTGTGTGTGTGTATACATATGCATATATGATTTAGTCTATCTTTTAAAATAGCATTTTAGAAAAGCCAAATATTACACTGCTTCATGTAAAAGTATGTAATTATTTGCTAGTACAAGCTGAGAGCTTGCCTCCTCTCCTGTCAGATACCTAATGCTTTGTATTAAAAGAGGATTCTTCCGCCTGAACAGTAATGTAACCAACCCTCGTAATGGGGAATTACACCATGTGTTAGAAGAGGCTGTTGGTGAGAGGATTATGGAGCACAGGTCATAGATTACTGAGATTTCTACACTGAATTGGCAGCTATTCCTGATAAAGCCTTGTTCACTTGTCAAAAAGATGGCTTTCCTCATAAAAGAAACTAGGGCCTTTGTATTCACACAAATGAGATATAATGTAGTGTTCTTCTGAAAGTGAGCTTGTTATTTCTATAGCAGAAATGGTTAGGCCTGAATGCCAGACGCGGCAGAGCCTGGAGGTGGTGAAATGGCCTGTAGCACTTCAGGCACGATGGGGAAAACAAACAGATTTTTTTTCTCCATACGTGAATCATTACAAATGGAGAGCAGGTTGGGCCAGAATATGTACTGATGAGCTATGCTTTTACTTAAGGAGTGAAATAAAAACATTCAATTCATTTTCTGCTCCTCCAAAGTATTTCAGGCCTCCTGTCTGCCTCATTATGCTCTAGTTGCAGACTAAACTTTGGTTTGGCATCTAACTCTATTATTTAATATATTCCTGCAGGGAAAACTTGCCTGGTCACTTCAAATTTAAGGAGTACTGCCCACAGGTTTTTCGCAATCTTCGTGAACGCTTCAACATTGATGATCAGGATTATCAGGTAAATAGATACCAAAGAGTTTGAGTCCCTAAGAGACCTGAGAGTGCAGACTTATTCCAGCTGTAGCCACAGAGCCCCCCCCTCCTTTTGGAGGTGGGTTACCTAATACCTTTTTCCATAATGACACATTGTGAGAGACTTATCATTCTCTCCTTGTAATAAAAGCAATGAAGACCATATGGCCGGACGTTTTGTTAGTTTACAGGGGTCAGCAACCTTAAACACGCAAAGAGCCACATGGACCTGTTTCCCATAGAAAAGAAAACACTGGGAGCTGAAAAACCCGTGTGTACATGCGCCCGCGCCGGGGGGGGGCTTAATTGAAGAGTTTAATTAAAAAGAAATAGAGGGTGCTGTGCATGAGTTCTCTCTCCCTCCCTCCCTCTCTCTCTCCCCCCTTTCTCCCTCTCTTTCTTTCCTCTCCCTCTGTCTCTCTCCCCCCTCTCTCTTTCTCTCTCCCTCTCTTTCTTTCTCTCTCCCCCCTCTCTCCGATCTTCTGCTCACCTGGCAAGCTGGCTTCAGGTTGTTCTCCGACAAGCTGACACATATTCTTATTGGGCTGGCTCTCTCCTGCCCTTGGTCTGCCAGTCCTCTTCCCCACTCAGTGAGTGTGTGTGTGTGTGTGAGAGAGAGAGAGAAAGAGAGAGAGCGCTCCTGCTTCCTGCAGAGACGCAGCAAAGGCGGGGGCCCCGCCCAATAAGCTTGTCAGCTTGTCGGAGAACAGCGTGAGGCCACTCTGTCTGCAAATGGCAGAGGAGGACTGGGAGCCGCAGGAGAAGGCTCAAAGAGCCACATGCGGCTCCAGAGCCGCGGGTGGCCGACCCGTGGTTTAGTAGAATTAGTTTGGTTTTAACTGGATTGGTTGATTTAGCTCTTAAGCATTTACTGACTTTACAGTAAGGAGCCCAATGTTCAAAAGTTTAAGTTTAATCACCTGTAGTGATTCACTTAACAACTGTTGCAAGAGAGGTCGTAAAATGGTGCAAAATTCACTTAAATGTCTCACTTAACAACAGATATTTTGGGCTCAACTAATGGTCATAAGTCAAGGACTACCTGTACTATATATTCCTCTAGTAATTAAATTGAGACATTGTAGTCTATGTTACTAGAGCATGTAGTTACATTTCTTTTATAAGGTTACTTTTGCTTCAATTTAAGAATCCAGAAGAGACTAGTTCAAATCTGTTCTCCTGAGCAAAACTAATGTTAAAGTTGGATTATTTTAATGTTAAACCAGTGGATTATTTTAATCAGTGATTATATTAGTGTCTGTGTTTCTATATATGCTTGTCTACATACATAATCCTTATTACTCTTGCAGATGCCATGGTACTAGTTGTTTCATCCATCTAGTAGAAGCCAGTTAAGGGTAGCAGAGGGGCTAGGAGGCCTAGCTGAAATGTTGCCTTTGTCCTGGATAACTTGCAAGACATTCTCTATTAGTGACATACGCTTAGTCTTATTCTCCCACTTACTCTGTAAAAACAATCATGGTGACCTATCATACGAGGTTAAGGGAAAGGTAGGGAAAATTATTATATGTGAAGCTCCTTGAACTTCTTCCAAAGCATCAAAATATTGATGTTGAAAAAAGGCCAGAAGCGCAATATAGCTTAGAAATGGTATGTTGCCATGTGAGAGGTTGTATGCATTCAATCCAGCACTTCTATAAGAATTTCAGGGCAGATCTCAGAATGGGCTAAAAAGAGATGTGGAGAAGGAAGTCCAGGCCTGACTTGCTTATAACTAGGTTCTTATACACACACACACACACACACACACACACACACAACATTTGTGCAGCTGTCAGGAGTATTGTGGAGCTATCCTTTGAAGCTAAAGCAGCCACAGCTATCTCTCCTTGTTTCCTTCTTGTAGAAAAGCACACCACCCTGTTCCTCACACTGTAATCTTATAAGTGTGACTTGTCATCTTGCTCTTTCTGTTTCTGGTGTTTTTTTTTTTTTCCTTCGTGACCTTTTGTTTTAGAAGCTGAACACCTGAGTAATTAGAATTCTAACCAGGAAAGAGATGTGCTGTTTTCAGTGTGCCTAACATGTTGCATAGTTCTTAGTCAAGCTTCTCACATTATAGAGTGAATCAAGCTAGGTGAGAGCTCTGTCAAAGATCCTTACGTGGTGCCCCACTGGGTTCTGCTCTAAAAAGTCTGCCTGCTTGAAGATGGCTGATGAAGGAGCATTGTCAAAAGGAGTGGAGGGTTCTGAGACCTTGCTTAGGTGAAGCATCCTCTACTGACCTGCACCTGATTCCCTTCTGCAATTTCCATAGTTCTCTTGTGAATCTTCTTGCCTTGTCCATTCTTTCTTTTTCCCAGGTCTCACTGACACGTAGCCCACCAACCTATGAGACTGAGGGTGGGGGTCGCTTTCTCCTGTCATATGACCGCACAGTGGTTATAAAAGAGATAACCAGTGAAGATGTAGCTGATGTGCATAGCCTTCTATCACATTATCACCAGGTAAGACAAATTGCAGACAGAGTGGCTTCAGGGGGATTATAGCTAGGTGAAAGTTCCTTTGACTTGAATCTAAAGATTGGTTAACTGGAAGATGGTTACCAAAGGAAAGTTTTCTCTTCTCTTCTCTTCTCTTCTCTTCTCTTCTCTTCTCTTCTCTTCTCTTCTCTTCTCTTCTCTTCTCTTCTCTTCTCCTGCAATGTACATTGGTAAAAAAGGCCTGACCCTCCCCAAAAGTTGCTAACTAGGGTCAGGTAGCTATGGGGAGGTAAGGGTCTAGGTGAAAAGGTATAGTTTCTCTTAAGTCCAATCTGACTTTACAGGGCAAACATCAAGCATAAAAACCCTGGATGGTTATTATTTGTTCTAATCTTCTTCCGGGGTTTTTATTCCTAATTTCTTAGTCTGGGTTTGAGATTTCCTGGTGGTTTCTAGTATTAATTAAATATAACTCATTCTAGTTTAATAGGAGGGGGAGAGGAGCACTTTTTGTGTGAATTTTGTTATTGATGCATCCGAGAGTTGAAACATGTTTTGAAAACATGCTTAGTTTTTGAGCTCAGCAGACTTGAATGTAAATGTAGGCAACTGCAGATCTGTGCATTTTTTTTCTGCTGTCCATAGAACAGAAAATACTGATGCCTAGTCACCGACTAAGGAAAGCCTTGTTTATTCCTGAGATTTGAATAGGAACAGCTGCTTGTGTTCTAGCTTTGCTTCACGCCTTGGGAGCAAGAAATGTATTTTTCAGCAGAAAGCTCTGAAGCTTGACATTCAGGGAAAAAAATGATATTTAGTCTACTCTCCTGAGAAACCGTGATTAAAAATGTACTATCCCCCACTAGATGGTGCATTTGTCCTTTGGAGATTATAGCCAGAGAGCTGTCTGGTCCAGTAATGTCTGATTGTCCTCAAAGAGGCAAATTATACATTTCCATTTTTCAGACTTGTGTTCAGACTTTGAATCTGAAATGTGAAGAGAATCTTTACTAGTTTATTATTTATTAATAATAATGTTTATCATTGCCTTTAATAGCACTTACAGAATGTACCAAGGGGCAAGAGTGTTTGGAAATTGGATTTCTGTTTGTTCTGAGATCAGCAACCATTTTCTTTTGGAAAGGATCTCATACCACGCAGAATAGTGCCTGAACTTTGACTGTCTCCACCAGTATTAGCGGGCTTGAGAGTTGGCACAACATTTTATAACATTTTTGTCACTGTTTCCTTTCAGTACATTGTGAAATGCCATGGGAGCACCCTCTTGCCCCAGTTCTTGAGTATGTACCGGCTCAGTGTTGACAATGAGGAAAGCTACATGCTAGTCATGAGGAACATGTTCAGTCACAGACTCACTGTACACCGAAAGTATGATCTGAAGGTAATAGAGAAGAAGCAATGTGTGAACCAAGTCTCTGTCTCTGTTTATTCATCTCTTGTATGGTGCTCACCTATGTATGTGGAGGTAGTTTTTATTTGTTTTTCTTTTGATTGTTACCCTGTCTTTATTATTATTTATAAATAACTCAAGGCAGCGAACATATCTAATACTCCTTCCCCCTCCCATTTTCTTCATAAAAACAACCCTGTGAAGTGGGTTGGGCTGAGAGAGAGTGACTGGCCCAAAGACATCAAGCTTGTTTTCGTGCCTAAAGTGGGCCTAGAACTGATGGTTTCCTAGTTCTGAGGCCAGCATCTTAACTATTAGACAAAACTGGCTCTCATTGTGTTACTTGTTGTCTAGCTCAATTACCCCCTGATACATTGTTTTGAAACAAAACACTCAATCAGACAAATGGATTGACTCGTTATAAGGAAGAGGTGGGCTGGCAGGAGTTTTGGCTCATATCTCTGACTCAGCCCCTATTCACTGTTGTGTTCCAAAATTTCCAGTCATAGCTGTTTAGCACAATGACACATGTAGCTTTAAGGAGATGTTGATTTCCAGATCTTCTTCCCCTGGGGAAGGGGAGGGGGAGGATGATACATGTGTGATGACATCCTCAGACAGTTGCAGCAACCTATGTACCTATAATAGACTAATATAAATACGTCACAGCATTTGCATAGTGACATCCTTGTCCTTATGTTGCTTTAGGATTATTGGGTTTGGTGTGGATGCCACTACCTCCGTAGCATCCCTTACTCTCCCTTTGGAAACAGAAGGTGTCGAGCCAAGGGAGCAACACACAATTGATTTGGGAAACTGCACAACACTAAGTAAAGTTTTGGTAGCCGATCTTCTTATCTTGTAATAATCAAATTTCTCAATAAGGCATGCTCTTGATTATTCTATAAAAAGGATAATCATCATACAGGAATAATTAAGATAAAGGGTAATTCAAATAGCAGCGTTTATAAAAGCGGTGCTTCAACTGGCAGTGTCTTTTTTTTTTTTTTTTTATTAAAAGTTTTATAAATTTTACAAAAAGGAAAAAAGAATACAAAACAAGAGACAACATATAGGCTTATGAGGGTGGTGCATCATCTTGTGCATAAAGATCAATCAGGGTTTATAACAGGAAGGTATATGAAAAACAATGTTAGACAAATTATTAATCTATTAGAATACTTAGATAAGAACAACCAAGTTCCTGCAGGGCTCATATTTTTAGATGCTGAAAAAGCATTTGACCAATTGAATTGGCATTTTATGCTAAGAGTAATGGAAGAAATGAATTTTGGTGAAAACATATTACAAGCCCTTAAGGTAATATATCAAAAACAAACAGCACAACTTATTGTTAATGGAGGTCTTTCGGAGGTTTTCACAATAGAGAAAGGTACTAGACAGGGGTGTCCTTTATCGCCATTGTTGTTTGTTTTAACATTGGAAATATTATTGATCAAAATTCGAGAGTCTCAGGAAATTAAAGGAATATATGTTAATAAAAAAGAATATAAGTTAAGAGCTTTTGCGGATGACTTGGTTGTTACTTTGTCGCAACCTGATTATTCTGTAGTAAACTTATTACAGTTGATTTATCATTATGGCTTGGTCTCGGGTTTCAAGATTAATGTAAATAAGACCAAAATTTTACCTAAAAATATGTCTAGTCAGGAGAAGCAGATTTTGACTAACCTGACGGGTTTTGAGATTGTTAATAAGGTAAAATATTTGGGGGTGATGTTGTCTGTTTCTAATGTAAAATTATTTAAAAATAATTATGAAAGGTTGTGGGTCAGGGCACAGAAGGACTTGAAGAACTGGGAAAAGTTGCAATTATCCCTCATGGGAAGAATTGCAGTGATAAAAATGAATATTTTACCCAAGTTTCTTTTTCTGTTTCAAATGTTACCAATTTTGAAAAATGAGATTAATTTAAATGAGTGGCAGAAGGGTCTTAATAAATTTATCTGGGCAGGGAAAAAGCCAAGGGTTAAGTTTAAAATTATGCAAGACTTCCGTGAGAGGGGTGGACTTAAGGTACCAAATTTGAAATTATATTATGATGCGGTGGTTTTAACACTAATCAGTGATTGGGTAAATTTGACAAACTCTGAGATACTTTATCTAGAGGGATGGGACTTACTTTATGGGTGGCATGCCTATTTAATATTCAATAAAAAAATGGATTGGACTTTTAAATCTCATATCTTAAGAATCTCTTTACTTAGGATTTGGAGAAAATATTATAAAAGTGATTTCAAAGTACCATTATGGGCTATACCTTGGCATGCGATAGAAGCAATAAAAAGAGGGGTTAAAATGGATATGGTGTCCTACAGACAGTTACTTAAATGGGATGGACAAAACTGGCAATTAAAATCACGGGAAGAGTTAGCACAAGAAAACTTTATTTATTCTTGGTTCCAATATAGGCAATTATTAGACAGATGGAAGATGGATTGTAAGGTGGGTTTTCTTAGAGAAGATGAAAATCTTATTAAGCAAGTGAAGGATTCAAGACAAACCCACATTAAGAGAATTTATGCGGTTTTAGTTGAATTGGATTCAGAAATGGAACTAATTAAAGATTGTATGATAAGATGGGCGCAGAATTTTGGTGAGCCAGTTTCATTGGACACCTGGGAAAAAATTTGGGTGAGAAATGTCAAATTTACACAAGCACAGAATTTAAGGGAGAATTTTTATAAAATGTTTTATAGATGGCACCTTGATCCACAAAAAATGTCTTATATGTACCCTGACGTGCAACCCAAATGTTGGAGATGTGGTTATAAGGAGGCTTCCTATTATCATATTTGGTGGTCATGCAGAGAGATAAAAGCATTTTGGATCAAAGTATGGTGGAATATCCAGAGAATTTTTAGAAGGAGGGTAAAATTTACTCCGCAATTATTTTTGTTAGGTATTGTTACAGATTGTGATACAAAGGAGGTTGTATTGATGTTAAATTTGATTACAGCCGCTAGGCTGTTAGTAGGACAATATTGGAAGAAGGAATCCTTGCCTACATTGCAGGAATGGTTTCATAAAGTAGCTTATCTGGCGGAAATGGCAAAGATCTCGGCTTTCTTAAAGCAACAAACGCAAGAAAAGTTTCTTGCTGTTTGGGACAAATGGATAAAATTTATACAATTTAGATTGGGTATACAAAAATATTATACAGTTTTTTCATAAGTTTTATTTTTATATATATTATAGATAATCTTTTTATATATATAAATATAAAGTTCTTAATTTAATTTTTATTTTTACTTTTTAAGCCTATATTCTGCTCTGGGAAGCTCAAGGGGGGGGGGAAGGGAGGGGGGGGGTTTTTGGGAGGGGTGGGGGGGTTTTTTTATATATGTATTGTTTAGTTTTATTTTTTTGTATAACTGGCAGTGTCTTAAAATGGTTTTGTGTCACAAATTGGCAGGCAAACATTTCCATCTGGTGTGAGACAAGGGCACTCTTGGGGTTGTTATTTAACAATAAAGCCTCATGCTGTATGTGTTTGGGTACATAGCTCTGATCAAGCTTCTGCCCACTTAACTGTAGTCAGCCCCAAACATCTGGTTTTAGCCAAAGGCTTCACAGAACTAGCAGTTGACACTATTTTTAACCACCTCTGCCTTTATCCCTAACAGAAAGGACAGTGCATTGGGAGGAAGCACCATGAGGTTCAGTGAGGTTTTATTCCTGAGTGATATGGGATTGCAGACTGGGATATGCTTAATTCATTCCATGAATCTTCTGCCACTGCCTGCCTGAGTCCCCCATCACCCAGCCACACTGCCTAAATTTAGATAATAAGCTCTTTAGGGCAAGGGACTGGCTTTTGCTTATGTAGCTCTCCTAATACGTCATGGACTCTGGTGGCCTCTTCAAAGAATAGAGCACAATAGGTAGATGTGTGTCAAAGACAAAATCCTTTGGGAGTCACCTCCCCCACCCCACTACTGTGCTCAATTTGTTATTTTTAAGGTCAGAGGTGAGTCCTTAGTCCTAAAGCAAGCAAAGCATTTCCTTTGAGTTTTCTCTAGTCCTTCCTGTCACAGCTGTGTTAGGGTATATCCGAGGAGAGATCTAGTTCTGATCTGATAGCTGTCTGTTAGAGAAGATCTATTCTGTTTTTCTGGTAGTCTGTTAAATACCGGTTGTTGTTGTACAGATAGTCCTCGACTTATGACACAATTGATCCCCAAATTTCTGTTAAGTGAATCTGGCTTCCCCATTTACTTTGCTTGTCAGAAGGTTGCAAAAGGCGATTTACATGACCTTGGGATACCGCGACGCTCATAATTATGAACCAGTGGCCAAGCATCTGAATTTTAATCACACGATCATGGGGATGCTGCAAAGGTCGTAACTATGAAAAATGGTCATAAGCCACATTTTTTCAGTGGCAGTTGTAACTTTGAATGGTCACTAAATGAACTGTTGTAAGTCGAGGACTAGCTATACTCACATTTCCCACCTGCAGCAGCTTTCCTTGGGGGCTAGTCCTGCATAGCTACAGCTGGAGTTGGGATTTTGGCTGATGAGTAACCAAAGCGATAAGGCGTTCTCTCAGAAGCCTGTGCTTCATTTCCTGTTCCTTGTCCCAAAGCCCGAGCGCGAGGCAACCTAGATGGCTCTTGCTGCGAACTTCTCCCTCCCCATCTCCTGCCTCAGGATTGCCACACAAGGCCCCTTCTTCCCTTGGGGAATTCACTCAGTAGATGAATGGTTTCAAATGCAAGGTCGCTACTTTGTGCTGAAAAGCTAAGCTGGGAAAAAACGAGATGGGTCATGTCCACGCCTCTCTGCCTTCAGCCTGGCAACACATCATTAAATGCTGACCTCAAGCAAGTTCTCTCATGCCAAGGTTATGTGGATAATTTAGAGCAGTGTTTGCATTCAGAAGTGTTTTAGGAGGCAAGTCTCTATGGAGGGGATGGGGGCTAGAAACGGCATTGCAACAAGGCCTGTAGCTCAAAATGCAGCGGGAGCATCACTTGTTAGTACAGGTATTATACAGGATGCAGATTAAGTAATTTGCAGAGGTGGCTAATATATTTCTTGATGGTAAAATATTGCCGTGATTATGCTTAACATGCTGCTTATCCTGAAATTAATGCAAGTCCCAAAAGTCAAGTCAGTCTGAGAAGGATGAATGGGGAGAAATGATATGCAGTGTGAATGAACTGAACGTGAGAGACTTGGGCTGCTTTCCATTTATGTGTTTTTAATACTTGACCTATTCCTCCATCAAAATTATCTCTGGATTCTACAAGGGATAGAGTTTTTCTTTTTTTTTTCTTTTGAATGAAATTTGGATCTCTAATAAAAACCTGGCTATCTGAAGCAATACCTTTCCTTTGCTTTAGATGCTCATGCTGCCAATATCTTTATAACTCTTCAGAAGGTTATCACATCTCCCCAGGAAGCTTTGGAGCAGGGAGCTAGATTTAATTTGTTGGGTCGTTTCTCTATCTGATGCCAAGGGGTATTGCAATTACTTTGCAGAGTATAGAAGCAATATAGTATAGTCCCCGCTCAGAAGGTTACATAAAAAAAGTAATAACGCAAATAGAAAGGCAGGGGCAAATTAGCATTGTAAAAAGGAGAGGCTGTGGGTGGGTGTAGCAAAGGCCCTGAAGGTGTAGAAATTAACAAAGGCATTAGTGACAAGGATGCCAAGGGGATGTATCTTGACAGAAGGTTAGAGAGGGGGAAAAAAAGCAAGCAAGAGCAGATGGTCTGCGGGCTTCTCAGTTGGTGTTGATAAGATTATTCCACATTCTGAGACATCTCAAGTATGTCCCATTATAGAGGGTTTTTTGTTTGTTTGTTTTGTTTTAGAGAAGGCATCAAATTTGGTGTAAATTCAGTTTCATGGTGGTACAACAATGGCATGTTGAATTTCTGACAAGGCAGATTCTTTTTTGACTGCTGAGGTCTTTTAAAAACAATAACAGTTAAAAAAAACCCCAAAACCTCCACCAAGATTTTAGAACTCAGTGGATGAGATGCAGGTTCATATATTGGCTTCATTAAGAGCCTCTGGAAAGCTTTAATTAAGTCATGTTTTCCCAGTTTCTTCTCTCCCTTCTATTAAGTAAAAAAAAAAATGCCTGCTACATATGTTCTGAATGAATAAAGGGTGTGATTAATCTGTATAGTGAAAGTGTTACACTGTGTGCCATTGGTTTTTATGCTGCAACCCTTCCATTTCAGATCTGCTGATATACCAAAATAAATGTAAACTAGTGTGTTAGGAAATGGTTGAAAACTTCTGCTCGTTCAGTATTACTTTTACATTGTCTGTCCTGCTAAGGACAGTCTTGCTATGAATTCATGATAGGGCTATTATTTAAAATGGTGCTAAAGTCTCTATGCATATTTTGCTGGGTGCCAAGAAATGACTGGCCAACTGTGCAGCCTCTGTAATGCCCATTAAATCTTAGGAAGCACTTGATGACTTGAAGGAATTGCTTCAAATATTGGAGGGGGAAGGGAGGGGACACATCCACACACACACATGCCCCACACACACACATGTACCCTACAGGCAGAATATAAAACCACCATGCAAAGCACCATAAAGGTTTTGAAAGAGATTCTTTCCCTCCTCCTTCAAACCATCCAGTCAGGAAATAACAGCCAATAGCATTGAAGCATTGGGATAAGATAAATGGAAGACACAGGTACAAGATGTTATAGAAAGGTGAGAGATTTCCTTACCAATGTCCTTGCCATTTAAAATCAAGCTATTTTCCAAAGCCCCTGAAGGCAGGACAAGAAGCAACGGATAGAAACTAATCAAGGAGAGAAGCAACCTAGAACTAAGGAGAAACTTCCTGACAGTTAGAACAATTAACCAGAAGAGGTGAATGCTCCAACACTGGAAGTCTTTAAGAAGAGTCTGGACAGCCATTTGTCTGAAATGGTATAGGGTTTCCTGCCTGAGCAGTGGGTTGGACTAGATGACCTCCAAGATCCCTTCCAGCTTTATTATTATTATTACGGATCATCGCACATGTTTTCTGGACTGTAATCTTTATGTTCTCGCCTTTTCTAGGGTTCACTGATATCCCGTGAAGCCAGTGACAAAGAGAAGGTAATTGGTGATTGTAGCTGTATTTTCAAGTTAACCTGATATGGGTTGATTACAATTGACACAGTCCAACATGGGTATTATAACTTTTTCTGTACAAAGGTAATACAAGTTTGGTCTAAACATTATCATTTTTATTTAATAAACCACAATTAGCTGAATTCATGCCCAAAGCTAAGCCAGGAATGGGTCTTTCTCTCTCTTTCTCGACTCCTGGAAAGCTTCTGAAAACATGGAATCAACACTAAGCAGAAAAATAGCCAGTTTCGCTGGCATGGTTTTTTCCTTAATTTTAAGTTTCAGGGTGAGGAGGGCTGATTTAAAAGTGGTAATAGAGTGCAGAAGGCCTCTGAAAACAAATTAAAAAGCTCTCATTTCCATCCTCAATTTCTTCCATTTGAGTAAAAATGGACTCCCCCCCCCCGTTCCTTCTAATGGTATCATTGTCACTGGAAGGCTTCTAGAACCTCCAGGTTAAGAAGCTGAGTAGTAGGTGCCTGATCCAGAAGGAATCACCCACATTAGTAGAATTTGCATGATCTAGTACATTATCCATTGGACAAAATACAGAATAATGTGTATACCTCGCTACTGGATAGTGTTTAATGTAGGCTATAAAATCATCAAGAGTTGAACTTAATCAAGGTAGCCTTTGCTTCTTCTTAAAGCAAAGATGGACAACCTGCATCCCCAAACTCTTTCTGGAACTGTCAAGCCCCTGGGCATGCCATGGGCTGGGAGATGGGGAGCATGCAGCCAGACGCCCCGCAGGTGCCGTCCTCAGTGGAGACAGAAGCCAGGAACACTCCTCCTACCAGCTGGACAAGGGACTAGATAAGCAGGACGAGGGAGGGATTGTGCCTTACCTTGGCTGCGTCTCCCTTCCTCCAGCTGCCTCGTTATCAGAACAAATGGCGGGGACGGCAGAGGCTCCGTGGGCGTGTCTGGAGGGGGGGAAAGGGTGGTGCACTACACCTATTATCCATACGGACCGGATGCTGGCTTGCTAAGTGGGGTGAGCATCCTATTATGCCTCATGTTACGCTTCGCTTGAAATTGATATAATTTCCTACAATTTTAAAGTCAAGAGACCTACAAAATCTAAAATAGATTTAGCACCTTTAATAATAAAAGAAAAAAATAATTAAAAAATACAAAAAATCCCAACTGTCTGCATCATTATCTTGACCCCTAGTATTTTTGGTTCCTCCTTTGTAGCTCTCAACTATCATGCTAAGCTTAAAGTGAGCTTCCTCTTTTTAAATATAAACACACAGATGTACATAATATGTAGATAGGTAGACAGACAGATAGATTTAAGATACTATTTTAACAACTTAAATGCAAAACTCTGGTATTAATGGGAACATAGATAAATGTGATATTGGGCAAAAATGCTAAGAATGTTAAGAATGTTCCTTAAACTGACAATTGAAAGGTATATGCTTCCTAATTAGTTTAACTCTGGTATTAGTGAGAACAAAGAAGATATTTTCTTGTCTTTTCTGAGGAGCGTTTAAAATATTTTTCTCTCACCTTACAATTACATGGGTTGGGCTACTTCCATGGATTTGTAGCTGCCATTTTTTGTCTCATTTTTCCACCAAGGAGTGACACTAAGTTAGATCGCCAGTTTAAAAAATTACATTGAAACCACAATACAAAACTACAGCCTATACATGGGGAAGACGCAGTCCAGAAAATGAAAATCTTTTACTCTATACTATATGTACATGTGAAACCTAGCTTCATTTTAAAATTATTTTGTCACTTTTTATTGTTTCTACTTCTGACTTCCAAATTAGAATTCAGCAAATTCAGTTATGCCTCTTTTTCATGCACAGTCCTCTTTTCCAGGGCAAGGAACTACCAACTCTGAAGGACATTGATTTCCTAAACATGAACCAGAAAGTGTACATCAGTGAAGAGGCCAAAAAAGACTTCATGGAGAAGTTGAAGCGAGATGTAGAGGTATTGTAGCTTTCTCAGCCTGATCTAGTGTAACAAGAGAGATGGTTCTGGGTCAGTAATCTAACTGGATGCTAAAGGTAAAGTGGGCAATATTTCATGGTTCAGTTGAGTTTGAGAAGGGATTACTAATGGTAACCCACCCTACTGTTCTGATTCCCATCTTAATACTTTTTAAGGTCAAAAGTTACCATTTTCTCTCTAGTATCTGCCAACAAGTCAACCTTCCACCTTGCTCCCTATCTCTAAATAACATCTAATGTTGTGCTGGTGGTATGGGAGCATCTGCAGCATTCCTGACCAGAGGCACCTAGGGCAGGGGTGTCAAACTGGTGGCCTGCAGGCTGGATGTGTCATGTGCAGGCCATGCTCACCCCAACTCTGCAAAAGCAAAAAAAGGTCACGATATGTCACGTGATGTGATTGAGTTTGACACGTGTGACCTAGGGCTTCTGGGGGAAAAATAAGCACTTCTTCCCTGGTTGTTGTGCAGGCTCTGAGGTGTTGCTTGATAAAGAAATATGGGAAAACAGAAGTTGCCTTAAAGCTTTACATTTTTTTTTATTATAAAGTTTTTATTTTCTATTTTAAAATACATTACAATCTTAAAAATACTTCAGATAAAAAATAAAACAAATTGATACACACCACTTTCGGTATTGCCCACCCATTTCCCCCCAAACCGCATCCACTTTACATTTTTATTTAGCTGAATAAAGACAGGACCCTCTAGTCTAAAACAAAGAAGCCCCGAATGACAGAAAATCCCTATATTTATACTTTTTGATTCCATAAGCAATCCACCCAGCAAAGCTGACACACATGAGATAAAGTCTTCGCCCAGAAAGGCTGGCACACCATAGATAAAAAGGGAGAAACCAGAAGTAGCTAAAAATGTTCCTTTTTGGTGTTTCCCTAAAGACACTATGTTCTCGGGTGGGTTAGGACAGGGGTCCCCAACCTCCGGTTTGTGGACCGGTACCAGGCCGTGGCATGCCAGCAACTGGTCCACAGAAATGAAGCCCCATCCGTGGGTTGCAGGCAGCACGCAAAACCACACACCCTCCGATCTACGGAAAAACCTCTCTCCACGGAACCGGTCCCTGGTGCCCAAAAGGTTGGGGACCTCTGGGTTAGGACATGGGATGTTTTCCTTTCATGATCCTACATCTATGACTCTGCAAGTGCCCAAAGACAGCAGAGCCATCTGCACATATTCACAATTAATACTTTCTATGTTTTCCCCTAATTCCGGGTCAACATTCCTCTGGATTTGAGGCTGAAAAAGGCATAGTACTGGAATGCCATCTGTCTGATGCCAGAATGGTTCCTACATCACGGACTGAATATGAGCCTTGCTCTTGTCCCCAATTCTACCTTGCATTTCTGACTACTGCTTCCTTCCCTGTTTCCCACGCTTGAGCCATTGAAATTGCCATCTTCCTATTGCAAGTTTCCTCGGATGGATTTGACTGAATTTTTGTACAGTTTCTCATAACTGATAATCTGCTCCTTTAAACTAACAGGCAATCCAGCAACATAAACAGGAAATGTCCTTAAAAGGATAAAATATTCTGAGTACAAATATTTGCAGGCAGATCCTTTGCTGACAAGTCATCAAGTCTTAGGCTTTGAAAAATTAAAGCGGCAATAAGGTCCTCCTCAGTCTTTCATGAAAAATTGTATGGTTTCAGAGTATCAGCTCTTGCTTCTGAAGAACCAGAAACTGTTCCTAAGCAGGCTTGATTATCCCTGAACTTCAATCTTCTGAGGTTCCAGGTTGGCTCTTGAAGGCAAAGGGGTAGGACGTTTTGAGAAAAAGAACAAAGGCCATTCAGTAACTATATTCATTGTGCTCCAGGCAACTCTAAAGATCATTGATAAAGTATATATGATTTCTTCCTCTGGATATTTTCCCTTATATTATTTGCATACGGCAAAACGTATGGGTTCCCAGGATATTTCTAGAATGGTACAACATTCTTATCTCAGGAGGATTACATAGCAGCAAATCACCTTCCCTCCATTCTTTCATAAGCTAATTTAGGAATTTTTGAAGGTTGCCTCCTAGCATCTGAATTTTCCAGTCATGAAGATTACATCAGCCCTGCCAAAGATGACATGTTAGAGAAGGGTGCGTCAGTCTATGTAGATATAGTTGATTTGAATGACAGGATACAATTGTGTTGAGAATCAGGAAAGTCAGTGTGCATAATGTTTATTGGGTGGCATTTCTGTCATTATAAAGGCACACTCTTTTCACAAAAACCATTTTTCAACTTATGTGAACTTATAATGACATGAATGTATAGAAAGAGCTTCAAACAAAATGTAATGCCGAAAAGGAGAAAAGCAGTTCGAAGCATTTAACTGGCCCCCGATTAATGGCAGGAAGTGTTGTTTCCATGGCAGAAAGAGAAGAAATCTAAGTTTCCCATGAGAATTAAAGTTCACAGCAACTGTTATGTACTTAGGTATTTATTCATTGTTTTCTTATCTCCATTTCCTTGTTTTGCTTTTTATTCTTTTCGGGGTTCTGGTATGGCAACTGCAAATATTTGTACTGTGTTTATAACTTTGAGGGACAAATTCTCTTGTGAAAGAATTGTGCTTCAGCTGTCTGGTGGAGGTCTCAGATCCTGATTTTTCTGAATTGCTGGTCAACATTTGCACCCCATTTGCCATAATGAGGTGAGAATTGAGGTTAACTTCCAGCTCTGGAAAAATTTGCTCACAGTTAGCATTTTGTCAGCTATTATATTTCCTTAGGGATTGAATCTGCAGAATTTAAACTACTTCTGCAGTGTGAGATTTTCCCTATTGGCCTTAATGACTGTTAATAGCATGTGATGGGGGGGGGGGAAGGGCTGCAGATACTCAGTGTCTAACTATTAACCTCATATACCATGCAGCCTTTCTCCCACATCAGCTCTGTTTCTCTTAAATGTTCCAATTCTTCTTGCTCCAAGTTCAGTTTTACTGCTGACCCAAAACAGGGAACTGGTAGGCAACAGGCTTCTTGAGTTTTTTAAAAAATTGATGCTTTGGGTGTGACAATGGAAGTCACTTGGTGTCAGCCCCTAGGAACAAGCAGGCTGAAATCTCCTGCTGATTTTCTAAATAGAAATATCTGCATGTCCTGCAGCCTCATGAACAAACACATTAAATTTTTCCAGTGGAGTTGTAGGAGATGACCAGGCTGAGCCCAATGGAGGATTCAAACGCGTCATCATTCCGTTGACTCTTATCTACCACCAACTAACTCTGACCATTAGTAGTTCAGATTCTCGTAGACATTTTTATTTACAATAAACCTAAATATTCATTTGAACTGTCTGGAACTCCTGATTCCCGTGTATGATAGGAGTTGGCCTAACAAGGACAGGTTTTGTTTCTGTATTATATTTCTGTTAACTCTTGCTATCTGGTTCTCTACAAATGGTGAGGTTAGATTTAGGATTTTTCACTGCTTTCTGGACAGGTAATTTCAGAAGAAATGTGCTTTAAATTTATTTATTTATTATACTTTTATCCTGCCTTTACTACTTTATAAATAATTCAAGGTGGCAAACATACATAATACTCCTTCCTCCTCCTATCAACTGGGAGACAAACTCTGCAGCCAGTGGGAGAGGGAACTAGAAGTAAAGCTATACTGGACCTAATTCTTACTAATAGAGAAGAAGTGATAGAAGGAGTGGAAGTTGCTGGAATCTTGGGTGAAAGTGACCACATCATGCTGAAATTCAATATAATGCAAACCCAAGCAGTAGAAAATAATCCAACCAGTGTTTTAAACTTCAAAAGAGCTGATTTTAACAAACTCAGGAAAGATTCCACGGACGAAAATCCTAAAGGGTAAAACAACACAAGAAGCGTGGGAAACTCTGAAAAATATGATCTTAAAAGCCCAGTCCAACACAATACCACTGAAAAAGAAAAACAAGAAATTCAAGAAGAAACCAGTATGGCTGCACAAAGCTCTTTCTGACAAACTGAAAGACAAAAAGGACAAGTACAAAAAATGGAAAGAGGGACACACATAACTATGGCTGATTATCAGCAGACAGCCAGAACATGCAAAGACGAAATCAGGAAAGCAAAGGATCAGAAGACTTGCAACAGAAATCAAGGACAACAAAAAAAGTTTATTTCAACATATTAATAACAAGAAAAAAGTCAAGGAAACTAGGTCCACTAAAGAGAGAAGATGGCAAGGAAGTAACAAGACGTAGGGAGAAAGAGCTGCTTAACTCATTCTTTGCATCAGTCTTCACAGAAAAAGAAATTACAGCCCAACATACCAAAAAAACTACTGCAAAAGACAAATTAGAAACAAAAATTAAAATAAGCAGGAAAATGGTAAGAGAACACCTCTCCGACCTTGATGAATATAAATCACCAGGACCCGACAGATTACAACCTGGAGTTCTGAAGGAGCTGGCAGATGTTATCTCAGAACCATTGCACCATATTTTTCAAAAATCCAGAGTACCGGGGAAGTACCTGAGGACTGGAAAAGAGCTGATGTGGTTCCCATCTTCAAGAAAGAAAAAAAAAAGACCCAGGGAACTACAGACTAATCAGTCTAACATCAATACCTGGGAAGATCCTGGAAAAGATAATCAAAAAACAGAATTGTGAACAACTAGAAGCAAAAAATTAAAACCAGTAGCCAGCATGGGTTTGTCAAAAACAGATCACTTTATCATTCTTAGATAAAGTGACTAAATTAGTAGACCAGCAAAACGCTGTGGACATAGTATACTTAGATTTCAGTAAGGCATTTGACAAAGTAGACCACAACCTGCTGCTTAGTAAGCTAGAAAAAGGTGGAATAGACAACACCACCATCAGATGATCTGTAGCTGGCTGACAAACTGCACTCAGTGAGTAGTCTTCAATGGTACAACATCCACACGGAGAGAAGTAAGCAATGGGGTATCACAAGGCACCATCTTAGGCCCAGTACTCTTCAATATCTTCATTAATGACTTAGATGA